TTGCATCACGATAGATTCCCACTGACTCTTCAACAACTTAGGAATCTCGATCATCACCCGAAAGTGTTTCCAATGAATACTCAATTGCCTTGGAAGCGACCACCAGAGGTCCAACATCCGGCGTCCAGTGCCCACCATTCCGACCCCATTATCATTTCCTAACTCATTGCTGGATAATCCCACTATCTCGAAGGGGTTATTGTTCGGCGTTATTATCCAACCATTCATATCAATAGCGTTGATTTGGGTGACATAATATCCATTGATATAGAATGGATCAATATTACCTGAAAATCAGGTGGGATATGTCAAAGACAATTATCCAGCAATGAAAAAAGGGAAATACTTAGTCAAGCGCGAGTGAAACCAGTGGTAGGGGATTGAAGATGAATTGAATTATTAGAGAATGCTTTTTAGTAAATATCTAGCTTCATATTAGTTAGATATTATACCGCTTGTTTGCTTTATTATATTTGGTGTACGCTGTTTGCTTCCTCGGTTTATTGTTGGTATATCAACTTGTATGTGATATACCTATATGTAATGAATGTCCACCTTGAACGTTAACTGTACTTGTTCAGTTTTGTTTAATTGGGGGTACTTCATTATGTATAATGCCCTTTATCATTTTGGCTCAAGGTGGTATTCATTACATGTAGCGTTATCTGCTTTTATTTTTCCCCACCCACCACACCACTGGTCATTCAATTCACAGTTTCACACTTTGGCCCGGCGTTATTTTAGTATCATGCATCCGATCCGATTGATGCACCCCAGTGCATTCATCCAGCTGAATTCCGATATGTTCAGAGTGATATCCAACATTCACTCTCGCTTCCGGTGTATACGCACCTTCCTGGCGCGTTGCCCTTTTGCATTCGAGCATCCGTCGCATCCGCCTTCTGGTCTTTTGCGTACTCTCATTGAAAATCAATGAGGGTGACATAATATCCATTGATATAGAATGGATCAATATTACCTGAAAATCAGGTGGGATATGTCAAAGACAATTATCCAGCAATGAAAAAAGGGAAATACTTAGTCAAGCGCGAGTGAAACCAGTGGTAGGGGATGGAAGATGAATTGAATTATTAGAGAATGCTTTTTAGTAAATATCTAGCTTCATATTAGTTAGATATTATACCGCTTGTTTGCTTTATTATATTTGGTGTACGCTGTTTGCTTCCTCGGTTTATTGTTGGTATATCAACTTGTATGTGATATACCTATATGTAATGAATGTCCACCTTGAACTATTTGAAAGTATTTTTAAAAGGAAAATCATCAGCGCCAAAATGGAAAAAATCAGCTGCCCAAGCATCATTCGCAACCTTCATGCAGCCACTGCAATGCAATTTAGACTTTCAGCAACAGACAATGGGGTTCACGCGCGCAGCCGCAGCGGCAAGGAACCTTAACGCAGCCATTCCACTGCGATCTGCAGACACTGAGTTGCAAAGCACAAAAAGAAATACGCACAACGGCTACACAAATTGCAGCTCCAAGAACCGGACCTCGACGGATCAGAAGCCTCTTTGCATTCATGGAGTTACAACTGGGGAGAAAGGCTGAATGCGTCGTGAGGTTCCCATGCGAAAAGTGACATCTTGCATGCAATGTTTGACGGCTTACGGTTGCACAGTGAACGGCGATGTGAAATAAGCGGCTGTCACGTGTGACATAGTTTTTTTTCATCAGTGAAATGCGTTGAGCAATTTCAAGTGAACTGTTGCTGTGGTTTCTCGAGTGGAGGGGGCCCACCGTTTTCATTTGTGATTCAAGAACCCACCTCTTGCCCCGGCAAGCCACCTTAGCACTGCCACTCCCACAGCCAGAAAGGTTGAATGCGCCGTGAGGTCCCCATGCGAAAAGTGACAGCTTGCAGCTTGCATGCAATGTTTGATGGCTTGCAGTTGCACAGTGAACGGCGATGTGAAATAAGGTATCATTAATTTTAATGTTGGCTTCACCATCAACATGTTCACTTCTTCATCACGATCACATTTACAACTACCAAGGTCTCCATGATATCATCCTACCTAATTGTCTTAATCATCATATTGATCTTCATCATCAGCATCGTCATTCGTCATTTATCATTCATCGTTCATCATTCATCATTCATTTTTCATTATTCATGTTTCATCATCATTGTATTCATTCATTGTTGTTTTTTTCCACCATCACCATTGTCATCAGCATCGTCAACAACATATTCAAATTCAGTTTCGCCCATGTCATCCCTTGCTTTCGGAATCTTCGACCCCAAACTGCTACACCTAACCTCAAGTCTCAAAATTCCGCTCATACATGTTGGTACCCTGTCCCTCCCCATGTGCCGTCCCCATTGTCCTCGTTCGCTGTGCCCGTTTCTCCTTTTTTCCTTCCTCCGTCCTCACCATTCCCCCGATCATTTTGTTAAAATATAATTATATAAATAGCATGGGGATGAATATTTAGGTACCTCTGGTGCCAGGGTTGTGACTCATAACCATATGTTCGGGGGGGGGTGAAGTGATCAAAACGTGGGGGAGACTTGAAACGCGGTTTGAGAAGTGAACTGACATTTTTGCCGAGGCGTGAAGTGACCCCAGGTCCCTGTTGTTTTTGTTTTGTTTTGTATCTTGGATGTGTTGCATGGAGGAAAAAATGAGCCCTGCGCCTTAGCTCATTGATGGTGTTGGGTATTGTTGGGTTATTTGGTTTCACTTTCATGATTGTTGGGGATGATCCAGTCCGTGTTTCAATTGGAGGGTAATTTTATTTCAATCAGTGCCTTGCGCGGACAACTGTCACGGGTAGTTGTAACCCATATCCACAAAAACAAAACACATGTTTTGGAAATATGATTGCAGTTTTGAGTCTACACGCGCAACATGTGATCCATTCTTTTGCGGTTTGCACATGTGCCAAATCAACAGGCGCTTCGATCAACCAACCAAAACCAATCAATTTTTTTTCCTTCAGCAAATGTGAAGCGACCCTTCCTTTCCAAATAGTTACGGCAATTTTGTTTTGTTGGGCATGTGCCTGGTCACATTCTGGGTTTGCAGTTAATAATCAGTAAATCTGTTTGTGAACACATCACCGGGAATGTTGTTTTATTGGCCCAAGCTTGGCGCGTGCCCATCTGGTTGCCCTCTTGAAAAGGCGTCCTTCGCGACGTCGCAAAGCTGGGGACTTGGAGGGAACACCCATGGAAAGGCTCGACTTTGACCATGCGGGTGTGTCTGAACATGGAGTATATATATATATTATATGATTTGTGCCCCAAATGGCAACTTTGTTGGGGATGATGTTGAACCATGGATTTGGGAGTTGTCCTCTAAATATTCAGACAAACCCATTGCAATTCAAGGGCAGCTGATGGCCATGGGTCTTTCACCCGGGCTGCGACGACAGTGGCTCCTTGTTGGGCTGCCCCAGCGCAAAAACGTTGGCAATCTGTGGCAACCAATTGGGAATAACGTGGAAAATGGCCAGCTCCCTGTTCTGTATGAATGATTGCAACTTTGCTGATTTGATCTGATTTGCTTGCGTACTTTGGGAAACACAAACCGATTTCAATCAGGACCGGGTCAATTTGTTGGTGATGGTGCAAAAACCAATTTGATTCAATAATTTGATTGACATGTCAGCTATGTATGTGCCACAGGCAGACAGACACCATGTGCAGTTTCAACAGTTCTCATCTTACTCTGCTTTCCATTCGAAACCCAATTCTTCTTAAAAAATCCCCAGACCATGCGCAACGCCAAGGTTGCAACTATCGTTGGTGGTCTCAGTTGCTGCTCATTGGGTTGTCAGTTCCCCACAAACCTCACCCAAGAAGCAACTTTGGATCTGCAGATCCTTTTAGTTTAACATGGTTCTGGAAATGACAGATCCAATTGTGAATGCTCCATATTTTTTGATACATGGGTTTACCCAGGCCCGAGGTATCATGCCCAAACCATGAATCCTTGGAATTGCTGATCCATTAGGTCGGGCTATTAGCACTGCCATGCAGGCACAATCGCTGGGTCAGCGATGATGCAATTCTGTGGATCCTGAGGATTCCTGATGATGCACGAACTACCTGTAACATGTTGTAAAGTGAACTGACTGAGACAATATGCAGATGTAGTTGCCAGTAAAAACAAATACAACATGTATAATATACTGTAATCATATATAATATATAATATATAATATATAATATATAATATATAATATATAATATATAATATACAATATACAATATACAATATACAATATATAATATATAATATATAATATATAACATATAATATATAATATATAATATATAATATATAAGATATAATATATAATATATAATATGTATATATAATATGTAATATATAATATACAATATGTATATATATAATATATGATATATATATATATGATATATATATGATATATATATATGATATATATGATATATATGATATATATGATATATATATGATATATATGATATATATGATATATATGATATATATGATATATATGATATATATATATGATATATTTAATATATGATATATATAATATATATAAAATGTATGTATGTATATATATATATATGTATGTATATATATATATGTATATATACTATTATTATTATCATTATTATTATTATCATTATTATTATTATATATATCTATATCTATATATTATTATATATATATATTACTTTATAATATATATATATATATTATTGTATAATAAATATATATATATATATATTATTTTTATATTATATATATTATTTATGTATATATTATTTATGTATTCAGTTTTCATTTTTTAGTTGCAAACAAATTTCCTGAAGTTTCTGGGTAGGTATGCAAGGGGATATATACTCCCTTTTGCCTGTCCATTTCAATTGAAGTGACTATTCTTCAGGTGGCTTGCAACTAGCAAGTTGGGGTGCCCAACCACCGTGTCATTCGCGAAGGCTAAATATGGCTTTGGTTGTTGCTGAGCCAGCTGAAATGGAGCAGGTGGGATGTCCTTGGATTGAATTCTTGCTGCACGAATCTGTAATGTAAATCCTCATGGTAAAGCAGCCTTTTCTGAAAAGGCATTGGTACCACGTAAACCCTGGCAGGCTGCTAGCCAGGTTCAGCCTGGTGCGCTGGAGCAAATCTTAGGCGTCAGCGAAGCCGATGTGCTGCGTGTTAGACCCCCTGCCCCTACATACATATAACCATTTTAAATATGATCGAGGGACCGGCTTTTTAAAGAATACCCTAACATCATATTATCAGGATATGAAGGAATCCACTACCGAATATACTACCGAATATATGACACACTTCTTCTATCAGATGGTGCTCATCCCTGGCTTCCCAGTGGAGGTTCGGTTGAGACCTCCCTGCAGCCTCTTCGGGAAGAGGTGGCAGTGGAGCCCAGAATGGGTCTGAAAATTAGGGATTTACTATCCTCAGTCTCAGTGGCAACTTGGGATCAACGTTTTGGATGAAATGGCTGTTTCCCCAAACAAATCGGATATCATTTGATAAGATTTGGCGTCGGTTTGACACCCTTCACTCCTTGAATTGGCTTCGGGGGAAATCTACAGGAAACCCACACGTATATTTGTAGGAGAACAAACCTGTGGATTTTCCCTTGTATAAATCCACATGATAATGATACACTCACATCCCTATTTTCATTCACTCATCCCCAAAGTCCCAATTAACGATACTCCCATTATTGATTGACATACTGATATCATTGTCAATAGTGTGGATCAAATCCCATGAAAACAGCAAGCAGTTTGATTATTGTGCGAATCAAGACATCTATGGGAACTCCAAATATTCAGGTGCTCTATTGGGTCGCTTTCATATTTGTTAGTTATATAAGTTATATCCCAATAACACATATCCCCAGAATATCGTAATCATCCCGTATTTGTGGGTTCACTCCCCATCTCTTGGTGAAATTCCAAAAATGGGAGACGTCTGAGATATCCCACTCCATCCGGAAAGTAGTCCCTTCTCCCTGAGGCGCCATTCCATGGATCCCAGTCATGGGGGTCTGAGGCATCTGGCCACATCGTCCCAAAGTTCGGTGAGAAGGCCGACGGAGCGCGGTGGCCCAGGTGGCCCTATATGAGAACAGCGTCCAAATTTGATGGCTGATCTGCTGTTTGTTAGGGGTATCTGACGCTATCCGAGGTATCCCCCAGTGTTTGAGAGGAATCGACATCACTGAAGAAAAATATTCATTTTCGGATCTTTGGTGTTGACATCTACGGGAAAAGTGGGGCTCCTTCTCACAAATCCAAGGTGCTGAGTGGTGCTGTGAAGCAGGCCCAGAGTGACGAGGGTTGGAAGGGGGGAAGGTCTGTCGATGAAGTTGTCATCGTTTCTCCCAATGTGCCCGCTAGTAAACCAGCAAGGATCCTGGCATCATCCTTTTTACATCTTTTTACCCTTGTTTCTGAAGCTACAGGCTGGCAGCGCTGGCAAAGAGGTTGAGAAGGTGGTGGATGTTTGACCCTGAGGGCGAGCTGTGGAACCTGTGGTGTTTTGCAGACTGCCTTCCCATTTTGGCAGCTTCGAAACTCAGCAGGCTTGAATCGCCTTTAAAAGATCACGCAATTTTCTTCCAGCTTTTGCTCAAAAGGGTCGGCCATGGCGGGGAATCGCCGCCCCTGTGCGAGCCTTGGGCTCGGGCTGCTGCTTGTGTGGTTCAGCTGCAGTGTGCTGACATGGCTGGTGCCCACTTCACCGGACCCCGCCCGCTTGGCTGGGCAGTCGCAGTCGTCACACAGGGGCAGAATGCACTCCAGAGTGCTCCGCATGGCTGTAGGCGGGATCCCAGGCTTTGATACTTTGCTCGACATTTTTTATGCAGCAGTTGAGTCGCTAGTGAAATGTAGCTCTAGTAGGCCACGAATCATTCTGTGTTTCCCAACAGTGCAGTGCTCCAGGTCCTGAGCTGAGAGCCTATGCACAGGGGCTGCCAGTCCCTCCAGATTACACTGGACCGCCTTATGCTGGGCCCAGCTCCGTGAACGATGCCTTTGTGGACCATTTGTTGAATATGTACAAGACTCAGGCCAAGTTGCCCATAAAATACGCCTACCTCATGGCACTGGATGTCTTGGACCTTCTGAAGCAGGAAAAGACGCTACAGCGAGTGGCAGTTCCTCCAGGAAGCAAGATTTTCGTCGCAGATTTGCTAAGCTTGTCTTAATTGTACTGCATTTGATAGACATGTTCCGGCTGAAGTTGGCATGAGTACTGCACTTTTTTAAGCGTATTTTTTGGATACTGTACAGTCTGTGCATATTTCAGAAACTGAGGATCACAGTTGTGGGAGACTTGCATGGGCAATACTTTGACTTTGTTCACATGATTGAGCAAGTGACCGGAAAGCCAAACCCTCAAAACCCAATCCTGTTCAACGGCGACTTTGTTGATCGAGGGCCTTGGTCTGTGGAGGTCTTGCTGTGTTTGTATGCCTTCAAACTTCAGTATCCCATGGCTGTGCACTTCAATCGTGGCAACCACGAGTCGGAAATGACCAACTATCAGCAGCTTGAGATAATAAACAACCACTTGTTGTCCGTGGGATCAAGATTTCCTTTTCCATAATTTCAGTTGAAAGGTCCAGCAAGCCATGTTTGATTACCAGAGATTGCCAGAGGATAATTGTCATCCCTGCCTTAAATTGCGACCTTAAGAGCCTTTCATGTTGACAACATTGATCACGGTCACTTTCAATTGATGCCTCAGGATTCATAGACGTCTTGTAACGGCTCAGAGTGCATGTTGATGGAAGGAAGCTAAGAGTGAAACCAGCATTAAAAAAGATTTTGACTAGATATGATTCTTGCTTAAGCAGATCAATTAGAGCATTGTTGCCCTTCGGGCACATTTTTGCTTAGATCAAACAGTCTTTATTGTTGCCCTTTCAGTATTTTTTAAAGATCAAATAATGGTGCCGGATTCTCCTATCGCCATGGATGCAAGGTATGGCTTCGCCAATGAGGTGAAAGTGAAGTATGAAGAGAAGCTGATGGAACTCTTCAGTGAAACCTTTCGCAACTCGAATTTGCACTTATTGGAGGGTTCGGCAAGAGATGAGAATGAAGACTTTCATCACTGTTCAGCTTAATTACTCTTTTTCCACAAAGGATGTCCCAAGTGTAGGAAAACAAACCGCAACCAGCAGCACCATGGGTTTTCCATTAAGACACCTGGTTGGCAAAGCTCAGGCTACCTCCCTTTGGCAACGGTTCTTGAGAACCAGGTGGGAAGGGCTTTGCCTGGGGCTTCCGTACCAAGATGTGCCAAAATCTGTGGCAAACTCTGATGTGCAAAACGGATACTCGACATCCCAACTGGCAAGACGCATGTGCAAGGGTTGCTTGAATCTTCCCATGACCCACGACCCTGCAAAACACAAACAAATTCGCCTGACGCTCACTACGGATCTCAAGCAGGATGTACTATAGAAGCTGCATGGTTGTAGATGTTGCAGATCTCAAAGGATGATCATAGCCATAGCCTGTGTCGTGAGTTGTTACCGCGATTCCACGTTTGCCAGGTCTTTGTCTCTCATGCAGGTGTCCCTGGACCCGAGGAGCGACTCTGGGAAGAATGGATGCAAAAGGCTCCAGATGAGGCAGGGCCACTGATGCCCATGTAGTACAAACATCGGCCGTCCAGACATGATGTTGTCAAGTCCCCAATCGGTATGGCGGGTCAATCCCTAATTCTTGATAAACATTGGCAGCTTAAATCTAACATGTTGACACATTTTGCAGCTTCAGTCTCCATTTTTTCCATCCAAAATCCACATTTTGCTTGGACCATTCCCATTCTTTCCGCTGAAATCATCACATCCACCAGTTGACCACCACTTGACTCATACATATTCATATCCACCATACCCATCCCCCAGGTCACCCTAAAACCCCATGGAAGGCTGCCGGTGTCCTGAAACGGGAGAAGCAGATCAGCCTGGCCGAGATCGAGGCTGGAAACTGGCAGATAGATCCAACTTGGATGTTGGGGATCAACAATCGGTGATGTTTGGATTCCTTGACCTGATGCATGAGTTTATTGGCCCTAGACAAAGTTTCGATGGTACTCCTACTGACCTCGGACAACAGCAACCCCACTTCAGCCAAAAACTGTGGTGCCACCTGCTGCGCGTACCAACTTACGCCACCCAACAGTGTCCTCAACTGGCTTTTCTCCATTTCGTCGGTTTCTCCATGTTTGTCCTTCTTTTTTTTGGCTCTGATGTCAATGTATTTCAGTTCCTCAACATACTTTTCTTGGGATAAGGCATACGAACCATCATGTTCTCTTTGGACCCTAACCCCACATTGTATGAGGTCATCACATTCCCAATCAGACCAACGATATTCCGCTTTGATGGACTCCATGATTTTCAACCATTTACTGTTGGTTTCATCACCTGAAAACAGGAAATCATCCACATGACCGGACACCAGACCAATCAGCTTTCCATTTTGCTGCAGCGTCCAGCAACATGGGTCTGACCAACACCTATGAAGACCTAGTTGATCAAAGTATGTGCTGATGGAACGGTATAGCACTCAAGCGGTGCGTCCACCAATCCGTAACACGCTCGACGAACTCGTCTCATTGACTCAGGTGGTCCCATGGCCTCCAGAATTTCAGGGCATGGGATACACAACAGCTTGTTGGGATAATCCCGTGACTGAAGAATTTGCTCCTGACACGTCTCCTTTCCAAGTCTGAAAACCCATCGCAGCCGCTATGGCCAGTTGTATTTGTCTCGTTTGTCTTGTGGTTGTTGGTGACGTTGTTGCACGTCCAGAGTACCAGGGATCCATGTACCCCAGCAAGACTGCTCGAGCTTTTGGTTTTCTGCCTCCATCAGGCAGGGCTTTCCAAGTGAGGATCCAGCGCATCTTCACAGCATCAGATTTACTCGCCTTGTATCCCTGAGGTAAGGCTCCGAAGGCCTTTGCAGCTATGAAGTTGTTCACCTCAATCTGTTTTGCACCCTGAAAAGCTATCTTCTCTTCCGGAGTCAGTCTTCGTTCTGAAACCTCAACCGCTTTCCGCTTCAAGGCAGTGTTGAAGTAAGTACCCAGAGATGAGATCGCTTTCTCCGAGGCTGTCCTGTTGTTGGGCAAGTCAATCTCCACCTCCACGGCCGTATCTTGTTTCCAAATGCTTGACTCCTCATTGGCTAGGAACGCATGAGTTGGAAGCAGTTCAGGCCACCGGGGGGCTGCCAGAAAACTCTCGGGCTGACATGACGAAAATTCACCCCAAGCTGGACTTCGAGACTGCTCTACCCCTTGGTCCAGGGTCTTTTGATTCTCTGGAACCGCCGGTGTTGGGTGGCAGTGTCTCTTCAGGCTCCAGATGATATGGTTGAGGCCTCATTCATTCTTTTTCCCCGCTGTCGAATGGTTGGTTGCCATTCATGTTCTGGATCAGCAGCATGTTTCCACCCTGACTCCAGTGGTTGCTCGCTCCAGTCTTCGAATTCATTGCCACCTAGTTCATCAGCGACCCTGGCAAAGGTCCATGGTTGAGGATCAGGTGCATGAAGTTCCTCCACTATCCTTTCATGGTCTGAAGCATGACGAAGCTGTTCTGGGCAACACTTCAGTAGTCTCCTACCACGTACCAGCCACACAGAAGTTCCTGCTAACAGGTGACCCTCATCATCACGCTTCTGTTCAGCGGCCAAGATCCTTGCGGGTCCCACAAATTGGCCCTTGGTGTTGTTGCCTGGTTTGGCATCTTCTCCAGTGACTTGTTTACGTCAAATGTAGACTAAATCTCCTGCTGAAAAATTCAGGAGTCGACGATGACGTGAGTGAGTTGCTCGCTGTAGCCTGTCATGTGTGTTCCAGTCAAGGAATGCCTTTTCTGCACTCAGTCTGAAGGCTTCAGTCTGGTGATGCTGCACGGTTGCCGACTCATGGATGATCTCAGGCGACTGGATCATCTTGGGATTGAAAATTTTGTCAGTTTCATCTGGTGCTTTTCCCAGGACATGTTGTATGGGAGAATACCCACGGATGACCTCCCTGCAGTTCAGCGCACGAATGCATTCTGACAAGGCATCTTCTGCTGATGTCTCTGGACGTTCATGCAGTACCTTTCCCAGAATACTTTTTGTAGATTGCATGGCACGCTCGCAAACTCCTAGTTTCCAGTGTCCCTCGCTAGGTACCAAGTCCAAAAAGATATGGTCTTGATCGCAGAAATCATTCAATCCATGGCTCCTAAAAGCTCCGTCAGGATCCAACCTGAGTGTCTTTGGACAACCAAAATAGCTGAACCAGGCTTCCTCGAGAGTTTTTATGAAAAGGGCTGCGGACACATGCTGTTTTCGACCCTGCAGGTGATTATCCTACCAACCTTGAAACGGGATCCCTCATCAACCATCAACAAGAACTGGTGGTATACGCCAGTATGGGGATGAATAAAATGACGAACATCAGCCGTAAGGGTATCAAACCTTTGGGGTTGAGGCTCCAAGGAAGCAAAGTTACGTGGTTGTGGCCTACATGTTTCCTCACACACCGTGCAACGAAACTTCGCAGCTTCCTGAATGATTTTTGGATGCGCACCGCGTCGCTTCAGGGATTGGATCAGGTATCTTTTGGGACTATGACCTGTGGCAGAGCGAAGAAGATACAATTTCTTTTGGATTTCCTCAGCTCCCATGTTACATGGTTCATGCTCCCCAGCCACAAGTCCCTCCCCCGTGAGTCCATCCACTGACAACCGACATGACCCACACTGGAGGTTGACCCCATGTTGCTGGAAGTCCTTGCGCAAGCAAAACACCCCTTTTCCAAACAAATCCCCTTCTTTGAGGTTACCCCGAAAATCCTCCTGAAGCTCCTTGTTGGTGGACCGCAAACCCTCTTGGCAAATTCCGGGGTGTAGAAAGCCGATTTTCGGATTCAGCCCCTCTCACATGGAACATGTAAGGTGCCCTCACTGCACTGGCATGGCAAGGACATACGGGCAGCCATGAGAGCATGTGTTGTCATGATCTTCCAACCCTTGGATATGAATCGACCCTTGACATCACGAAGATTAACCTGGCAACCACGAATGACAGCAAAATAAGCCATGTATTTTTCCATCAAATGTTTCACCATGAAGTCTCCAAGCTTGACAAGACTGTGACCATATCCATGTAGCATGTATGCCCTGTTGGATGCAGTAACTAAACACAATGGCCCCCCCAACATACGGTTTCAACACTTCACATCGTTTTCGCTCGAGTTCCTCTTTTTGTTCAGGGGTCCTTTGGTTGATGTTTTGCATCACAGAGTATGGACCACGTTCCATGGATAACCGCACATGAGACGGTTTGTGAACATCGATTTTGTCAAGGATAGATCGCACCCCATCATTTGTGCTCAAGTCATGATTATTCCACGCGACAGCCGCATTGCTGATTTTTCCGAGCCAGTCATGTCGTGCATTGTCTTAGATATGATACTTTCCTGGCCACAGGCAATTTCAAGCAAAGCAGTGCGGTCATTCAAAACCAGGTTTTGGAGGGTGTCAGGAAGCAATCTTTCAGACCGAGTATCCAAAAACCTACCCAAAACACCAGGCAACCGTTTCGAATGAACATTTTCCCTCCGATTCAGCCCAGGAACCTGGCAGACTGCACTGGTGCTGTTCTGTCACAGCTGAAAAGGAATCATTCATGGCTGCATCAGTTCGAAGCTGCCTGATGTTGCCTCTCTCACTGCCTTGCCGTCCTTCTTGTGGGGACGCTCCTCCTTGATATTCTGCACCTCCTCGCTCAGCTGGGTCACATGGTTCATCAGCTGCTGCATCATCGTCAGCATCTGGTCGCTGGAGCCGGATGGCTGTGGAGCGGTGGCGACAGATGTCTTCCGTTGTGTCCATCGGGACCATGGGCATCTTCTTGCCGTAGGTGGCTCCCTGTGCGGTGTGGTTCATGTTCTGCTGAGCCTTTTGATGACGCCATCCCGCCAGACGAAGGAGGCGGGGAGTGCATCCATGTGGATCCTCTTGAGCCGTAGCTAGGATCCAGGCCATGTAGCTCTTCTCCTCCAAGAGGATCTCCTCGTAGGTCTTGGCCGCATGCACCCCGAAACCCACTGGATCCATCTGACTGGTCGTAGATCGCCTTGTGCATCAGCTGGTTGATGGTCTCGTTGCCTGCCAATGGCACCTTGAGATTCTGTCCCACGTGCTGCCGCAATCTCTCCTTGTTCTCCTTCTTGGCACGGTTCAACTCGATCACCATGGCACGGTGGGATGTGCGACTCTTCTTGGGCTATCATGTTTCTTGTCATCAAGTTCATCCATCCAGTTGCAAAAACTTGTCTGCACTATGATGCTGGCCTCCCTTTTCCCAGCAGACGTGGAATCCGGCTCTTTGAGACAGGGCACGCGGGTCGTAGCTTTTCTCGACCCTCGATACCAGCCATTGGCAAGTGGAAGCCACTGGTGACCTGAGCTCGAACGTTCAAGCTGAATTATGTGTTCATCCGACAGTTTCCTAAAAACTATCAAATCATGTTCAAAATCGATCACGGCCCCTACTGATCGAAGAGTTTCAATTGAGAAGAGGATTGGCCCTTCTCCGCGATCTAACGTGTGCACTTTCAAATGTCCCTCTCGGCCTTCGGCCAAGATCTTCATCCAGACAGTGGACAAACAGCGGTCACTGGATGAATTTCGAAAACCAAAAACGGGTCGCTGCTCAGGATCCAGCTCGCCACGCTGCTTGGCATTGATGTTCATCAGATTCTCCAAGGCCGTCACGGATCCCAGAGTGCGAGTGGAACCACCGTCAATGACAGCTTTGCTGTCTGTCATGGCTTGGTGAGTCGTAGCTAGGTTTGCATCAACATCCGCAGTGTTGAGGACCTGGTCAGTCATGCAGATGAAAGGTGCTTGTTCGTGGACTTCAGCTTGATGCACCTGGTTCTTCTTTGGGCAATGTCCAGTCTTGTGGCTCCCACCGCAGCTCAGGCACTTGACGCCCGCACCAGAGGAGGTCACATTTGTCCCATGTTGGAAGCTTCGGCCACTTGTAGAAGATGCGCTCGAACCATAGTACTGACGACTGAGCTTGACGAACTTCTGCTTGGATCTTGCTTCTTTCAAAGTGCGTCTCCCTTGGTCGATCGACTGCGCCTCAGGCTCGGAATTGGACAACAATGCCATTCCCTCGGCATTGAGCCCGGCATGAGCCAGATTAGCTCAGTCAGGACCCTCTTCATCTTCCGCAGGAGACTCCTCATCCTTAGTCACCCAAGCAGTGCCACGCCCATGTTGATCACGGCGACGAAGATCATCATCATTCCATTGGTTTCTCAGTTCTTGGGCAACTCGTTCCAGGCGAAAGTCGCCTTTGATAGCTGCAAGGATCATGTTGCGCTCATTCACCTCCAAGCCAGCATCCTGAAGTAAGAGCCAGCCCTGCACAAACTCTGGGAGCAGCTGCACCTCGGAGGCTGTCCAAGTGCTAGAAGAAGGAGCATCTTGGGACTCGGACCATTGCCAGTCTCAGTGCCAATCACCACCATACCATCGATTGTCATTCCATCCAGCTTAGCTGATGCCGGGTGTCTTCTTCTTCTTCTTCTTCTTCCCCTGGATCATTGGCTCCAGCACCAGTCTGGTGCCATCTTCGGCCACTGCGGGAGGCGATCCCGTTGGAGCTGTTGCTCTACGCAGATGATCTGGAAGCTCTACGCAGATGATCTGGAAGCTTTGGGTGTGATGGAGAAGGGAGGAAAGGCATAGTCATGGCCTTTGTGATGCTAGCAGCGCTTCCAGCACAGAGTGGATAGAATTACGCTGATTACTCCTTTGGGTTGTCAGACAGAAGGGCAAAGCGGCTTGTGGACTGGATAGAGGGCCTTTGCAAGGACGGACAGGTGGATGCCAGAGAGTTTGCGGCCGCCTCGGGGAGGCGAGGCTTCGCAGCCACGGCCTTACCGTGGGAAAGGCCTTTTCTGGTGCCATTGTATCTGTGGTCGGCAGCGATCGGAGCCCAAAAGGGTAAAGTTGCAGTGCCCTGGGCCATTCTTGTGAAAGCCTTGGACTCTAGCAACTAATGACCTATCAATCTCCCAATACCTTTCACAGCTTGTTTGTCCTGGGGATCATGAACATGAATCCGTACAAGGCCAAATGCGTCAAAATCAGCTTGCTACACCATAGAGTTTGCTGAGACCTTGATGCGTGCTTGGTATCCTCGAAAAGCATACCACCATGTGCCACTTAGAGGCTCCAAGGCTGTCCTTTGTGCATCGTTTTGGCTTGCGACATCGCCATATGCCTTTTGTTGCCAAACCTTGCCGATTGTATTTTCAGCTCTGTAAGGTATATTCCAACCTCAAAGCTACATGGCATGCATGAAGAACAGCTTCATAGCATGCTTTTTTTGCAGGTATGTGTTCTTCTGCAAGTGCCCATGCTCAAAGCAAGCATTTGCAGATTGAGATTGCGACGGGGGCACGTTTTGTGCAAGCGTTGCGAAGTAGAAAACCAAATCACATGCTCAAACTTTGGGCATGCATTAGGTAAATTGGTGTAGACGCATGCTTTTTGCATGCAAGAACTTTGTTTTCTTGTTTTGTTGCCACCATGTCAGTGTTGCCCTGCGCAGCTGACATTTCGCACGGGAAAAATGCACAGCACACACGCATATACAAATATATATAGTATATATAAAATATAGGTACATACATGTCGTATATTTGTGTTCCACATATATACATACCAAAGGGGATTTAAACAGACTATGTATAATACATAATACATATGCATTTTTGCATGTAGAATGTTTTATGGAACCCACAACTTTTCTGCTGCGAAGTTGGGGTGCCCCCATCACGCATTGCAAGAGTGACAGGTTCAATTCGCTTCGCTTGGAAGCCATTTGGCTTTTTGGGGTGTCCGTGTCCAAAAGTCCCAGGAAAAAACAATGCCTGCTGCACATATAAATTTCGGGTCAAAAAACATACCATAAGAGAGATATATAGTTAGGTCGAGAAAGAGATAGATAGGTAGATAGATATATAGTTTGGTCGAGAAAAAGAGAGAGAGAGAGAAAGAGAGAGAGAGAGAGACAGAGAGAGAGAGACAGAGAGAGAGAGAGAGAGAGAGAGATAGAGAAAGAGAGATAGAGAGAGAGAGAGAGACATAATAGGTATATATATATATGTATATATATATATGTTTTTTTAGGTACTGTTTTTTCCCAATCTTGGAGGGGTTAAATGCCGGAGAAACATCACACCAGACCCTGCATTCTCGGGAAATGCGCGTTTTCCACCATGCGATGGCTCTCGATCTATCGCTGGCAGCCGTTGAATGGCCAGTCCTTTGAGCTGCGGTGCGCTTGCCCCCCCAAGCTCTGCCAACATGTGGGTATGGGTGGCGATGATTGTGCAGATTGTTGCAACATAGTAACCCTTGAAAGCCTCTTCTGGACCACAGGAATGACAGTTTGTTTCCAGATTGCAACCTTTATAGCCTATAATCTCAATCTAAGCCATTTAGGGATCAAAAGCTCGTGGGGTTTGCAGGTGTGCATGGTAAACCTGATGGCCGGGCCCATGTCCGCTGTTTTGACCCCATGGAAAAGTTGCCGAGACTAGGTTCAAACTTTGCAACATGTTCCATGGGTGGCATCAACTCAAACGTGTAAAACATATCATGGAGATATGAATAGGACATATATTAATATATATATAAGTAATTTCATATATAATATGTAGTATACAAACACATAAATATACGTTACATAAAATTTACTTACATAATTCAAATAGATATAACATACAGATAAATAATATAACATATAACATATGTGAACAATAAAGAACATAATATATATTTTATATAGTATGTAAATACAAAAAATGCGTGCATCTATATCTATATATATATATATATATGCCAGCATTTCCAGGTTTATCACCTTTTCCCTTTAGACGGTTTCGTGTCCGAGGAGCCGGAAAAGTTCCATGGACCGAAGCCGATGTGCGATCCATGGCAATTGCCATCAAGCAGAACTTGCCTGTCAGCGTGATGCAGTTGTTGTCTGGTGATGCTTGGAAAGGGGGACCTCTTATCCAACTTGAGGACACCGTGACATCGGCACGTGCAGATGACGTGATCCTCAACCATTGTTGGGTTGGGCCAGTGGTGCGAAAATTCAGGGATCGGGTGCCTTCCCAATTCTTTCTCACTGATGTTTTCATTTGTCTTCACAAGATCTTCATGAACAAGCTCTTGATACCTTTGGAGGAAGGGGATGATGTGCAGAGTTTGGCATGCAATGAGGGGAAGAAAATCAAGTGTTTGATCAGTGGGTTGCGCGCTCTATGGCGCAGCAGTATTTCGGTTCAATCTTTATGAAACCAACGTCTTTTTATTTTGTTTCTTAACTTTAAACCTTTGATCTATTACGATATATTACGATGCAAATTTCGAGCATTATGAAACCTTCCCAACCCTTTTCCCACCATGCGATGTTCAGGTAAGGAAGCTGGAAGCCATCCGCGAATCACTGAGCTGAAATCACTGCTCATGCCGTCTCCAACAAGGTCTAAGGCCATGGAATCATGTTTTCAGTCAAACTGTCCAGAACAATCATCAGTTTCCAGAATCCAAATTCTTTCGGTTTAGGGGCCATTCAATCATTTTTCTCAAGTTTCCCACGCATTCGGAATTCCACCAAGTTGCGGATCCAGGCAAAGTCAGAGTCCAGTGCAGAATCGTCTGATGAAGAGCGCGCTGATGAGGGCCCAAACCTGGGTGATCAGGGCAGTGAGGAGTCTGAGTCAGGGGAAGAATCTGCACCGAATGCTGACCCCGAAGTTGAAGCCGAGTCATCGAATCATGGGGGTGACAGTGACAGTGAAGCTACTTTGGAACTTCCGGGGAATGGCATGGAAAACCAAGTGGATGTGGATGTTTCATGCAGTCCGTCAGGTGAATCCATGGAGAATTTGACCGAAGCCGACAGCGATTCAGGGGCGGTGTCAGTAAAATCTACCCCAACAAAGACACCCCAATGGAGGGAAGAACTGTTCACGACTCCCCAGTTTGGAAACAGTGGACCACCCAAGCCAGAGATCATCGAGATGTGCATTGGTTTGATGCAGTTCTTCGGGTCCAACCATCCGGATATCGCCAAGTATCTAGATCTATTTCGCATTAATTTGTTTCTGAATTTTATTTGTGTTTCTCCCTTCATCCACCCATCCATTTTTCTTTCAATCTATTCATCTATCTTTTCATCTCTCCATCTATCCATCCATCACTCAATCCATCCAACAATCCCTCAGTCCATCCACCTTCTATCTATGAGTTTATCTGTTTATGTATCTGTCTATCTACTTACCTATCCATCCATCAATCCATTGACCAAACTACCCATCTACCCATCTGTCTATCCACATATGAATCCACTCACCCATGTATCAATTGATCAAACTAACCATCCTCTATCTCGCTTACTTCTCTGTCCATCTTTCTACCTGCACAAATGCTTTTTCCTATCCATCTATCGGTTCATCCTTTATCTATTTATCTACCAAATCCATATCAACACAACTCCGAATTAGGGATTCAAGTTGTTTTTCATGGCTGTATCCCAAATTGCCCACATGTTGATTTATTTGAACTGTTTATGTTTGCCCGGAAAGGCATCCCAAGCTGATTAACTACATGGACCATTGTGAATGGAGCTATGCCCGATTTGGTATGAGAGCCAGCAGCTGGCTGTCGACCGTGGATTACTGGGATAGCTGGTTGAAACGGTGCTCTGAGCTTGGCAACAAGGCACCCCGTTTTCAAGAAATCCTTGTGGTTTGAGTTCTAAAGCTGTTGTATAATAACAAACTACCACCGCCCTTGTTAAGACTATATGTCCACAAAACCATGTGCACATGCAGGTGCTTACTCCTGAACAACATCGATATGTTTCGGAGGGATCTCCTGAAGCTATGGAGGCTGAAGAAGAAGAGTGCCGCAAGCTCAAGCGCGAGGCACATGGGGCAAGTTGTTGAGAAAACATCAATGGATGATTGAACATATTCAAAAAACACATCTTTTGGGGTCTTACATTCCCTTTCTGGGGCAGGCAGCTATGGACGATGGCTTGCAGAAACTTATGCGGAAGGATGCTTTTGTGGAGGATCCTGATGTCTACAAGGGCAAGGCTGACACCAAGCATTCACCACCTATCCCAGCCCCACCGAAGTCTACCAGAAAGGTGGCAAAGGTCTTGGAGTCAGAGTTTGCCCCCAAAGCAGTTGGTATCCAAACGGTCCCTAGTCTGCTTTAACCTTTTAACCTATCAAACAAAATAGCATGTTCAGCCGTGGATTTTAACCATTGATATGTAGTCTACTGTTCACTGTTTGGATGTTGTTCCCCACGCTAAGGCGAAGGGAAAGAAGCGAGCCCGGGAATCCCGGGAACCAACTGGTGGGAGCAAAAGCCCTACTGCCAAGAAGAGTTCCAAGAAAGGGTCCCCACCAAAGTCAGGGGATGAAGAGATGCCATCGAATTCTTTCAAGGGATACGATTTGAGTGAGGTTCCAACTCAAGCTTGGCCACAGCCGGGCATCAACAAAGGGGCTCATGGATACACAATCAAAGCGAAGAACGGTGCGGCCATTTGATTGCATTTGTCATGTATTTTTTGGTCCCAGAGCGTATCAAAAGTTTGATGCCCTTGTTATCTGGATGATGTTGTTGAAGTGTTTTTTAATCCCAAATCCTTTCAACTGTCAAAGCCCAGCCACGGAGCCCACATTGCATTGTGCTGTGCATTGCGCCACCATCCTGAGGCCGTGGAGGTCTTGCTCAGGGCACGTGCTTTCGTGATCAAGCGTGTTGCAAGTGAAGATGGTGCCAGTGCGGGGAGCTGCACTTCCTATCGTCAGTTTTCTTGGAGCAAGCATGGGAGACCTACCAACTCATGGAATTTGGCAAAGGTAGCTTCCGGGTGGCCTGATGAGGCTGACTGATTGGATCCAGTGAAACTGGAAACTTTTCTGGCTATGTTTGGGAACACTTCTTGACATCTAGAAGTGATGTTACCTTGGTCGTGTGAAACTTGGGATAGCGCAGCTTGGAACATCAGGGGGCATATGCATTTTCAATTTCAATTCGTAAAACGATGTCATGTGTGTAGCTTTCATGGGGTTGTTTCCAAAGAAATCCCGACCTTGATTCCGTGCTGCTACCTGGGGTATCGGGGGCCAGTGCCAGACCTAAATGTTTGGTCAGGCGCATTTGAACCAAGCGACGGTCGATCATCAACTCGATAGCTGAAAACAGTTGCAGAGATTCCCCAACTCCAAGAGGTACAGGTAGCCGTTCAAGTTCCTTAGATAGGTCAAGCAGCCCCAGCGTCCCACGCAGGATTCTCTTCAGTGGATAGCTTCAGTTCAATCTGTGAGGTGCCGGTGGGATTGCAAGGAAAATCTTTTTGGGGGCCTACGTTCTAAAACTGTTTGCGCCCAGACCATCCAACCAAGAAGATTGTTTTGTTTTATCCCATTTCGTTAAAAGGATTAATTGGATTCAGGCATCAACCCTTCCATGTTGCGCCTTCTTTCATTCACAACTGTTGACATGGACTTGGACAACATGATACTTATATGTATATATATATTGAATGGACCTTGTCTCTTGACTCCAGGCCCACAGTCTCCACACACTCGACGCAGAGGACTGCTTGGTGTTGGATCTAGATTCATGTTGCCCCCATTCCACAATTAAACCAGATATATATGGAGTTACTAGTACAACCCAAGTTGACCATTCAAAGGAGCTCATTGTGTGTTGAATTGTAATCGCAAAAGCTTGTGTGGCACCGTGCAATGAGTCTTTCTGAACATTCTGACCCCCCACGAAAACAGGATTATATTATTTTTTTGTCGTGTAATGCAAGCTGTGAAACTTAAGGTTAGGACCTTTGGGAACCGTGTGAATGTTAAAACCACTTAACATTATGGAACCCTATACAGCCCCCACACGGGGGCTCCCCCAAAAAAACGGCCATACATTGTACCGAAAAGGAAGGAACACCCCCATCTAAGCCAAATTTCCCGGGATGTATGGCCATTTTTTTTTTAGAGACCTCTCCCCCAAAAAAACCCAACACTTTGGATCATTCAACTGGATTATGCAGCCAAAACCATGATGTCACCAGCACGCTAAAGGATACCTCTTTGGGACTGTCGGGACTACATCGCAACCAGGAGGCGGCTTGGGGCAATGCCTGGACACCCGTTTACCCAACATGTCATCAAAAGGATGTTGTTTTTGGCAGTTTTGAATGCCTTGAAGTGGGGTTGAGGGGTAATATAGTCATTAAAAGGATGTTGTTTTTGGTAGTTTGCAATGCTTTGAAGTAGGGTGGAGGGGTAGTATATATGGAATCCATTGTGAAAAAAAAGGTTGTAAACAAACCCATTCATCAGAATTGCCAAGTTGGAATCCATTCCGCCCCCCCGACTCTTGCAGTGTTGCGGCATCATCGCTCTGCTGGCCAGGCCCCAGAAGATTAGAAGAGGTGCAGGTGCGAGCCAGCCCCACCAGTTGCAGGGTCCTGCGCAGTGGCTGTGGTCCAATTTACATTACAAACTCCAGAAAACACTGTGTTTCATGATGTTGGGAGATGCATCAATCCACTGACCAGTACATCCAACCAACGCCGCTGTTCAAGAATCCAGGGCTTTAAACTTCCCGAGTCATCCCCCAGTGATCTTGCAACATGGGAAAAAGGAGTCCTTCTTCTTCTTGCGCCCATGCTTCCCGAGCCCGAATGCCTTTCAAAGCAGCGGCAAAGGAAAGGAAACCCACAACATGGAAGCAGAGACAGCGCGCTTATGTCTTTGCGGGATTGCGGGCTATGGGCGCGCCTACGGTGGGATGTTATCACTTAAACAATATTGGCAATTTTGTGTTCAAAGATTGGGTTCTAGAATCCCTGAAGATGAATTGGTTTTGATTTAAAAGTTTGGTTTTGTTTGTGTTACATTTGCTGCTAGTTGGAGCGCGGCCCCCATGCATTCCCAAAAGGTGTTTACAATAACCCCCTCGTTTATATATAACATATATGTACATATGTGCATATCTGTATATATATATACACATTTTTTTCGCACACAGTCGCACACACACGCATATATATATAATATATATATATATATACATACATACATACATATATACATACATAGATACATCTATATACATCTATATACATCTATATACATCTATATACATCTATATACATCTGCATACATTACATACATACATACATACATACATACCTACATGCATACATACAAAGATACATTCATTTGTGTACACAAAAGAAATAGGTACAACTATCATGTAGTTGTACCTATTTATTTTGTGCTCAAGCCATACATACATGCATACATACATACATACATACATACATACCGGTATACATTCATACATATATACATACATATATACACACATAGATACATCTATATACATACATATATACATCTATATACATTTATATGCACCTATATACATCTATATACATCTATATACATCTATATACATCTATATACATCTATATACATCTATATACATCTATATACATCTATATACATACATATACATACATATACATACATATACATACATACATACATACATACATACATACATACATACATACATACATACATACATACATACATATATACATACATATATACATACATATATACATACATACATACACATAATTGCACACATGTATTTACACATATGCATGTATATTCTTTGAGGGTGCAAGGCAATTGTCATTAACCCTGCCAGGTTCTCTTAGCTCTGTGCAGCTTGGTGTTTAGCTGCCCAGGGCTCACATGGAGCAAACCTTCCGATCATCTTGAGCTGTTTGCTGGTGTGTGCTCAATCACCAGAGGAGAGCTTCAGGACTTGGATTGCGAAAAAGCCAAAAAAAGACACTGTTTGAATGGCTTACGTAAAGGGATAAAACAATGTTACTCCATCTTGTCCTTTCTGAAGTGGCTTTCAAACCGTTCAGTCAAGTTTTTGTGACACCTTTTCAATCCTAGGGGTATATAGTGTATTTGTTCCCCTTCATTTAAAGGAGACCAGAGATGCCATCGCGATGGACATCAATTTCCACCCGAAGGAGCAAGACATCATGTCAGATGTTGGTTTCGCCAATATGGTGTATCAAGTGTTGAACCTGAAGCCAGGTGCTGCCATGTGGGCAGCACCGGTATGTTCTACCTGGGTATACATGTGCTTTAGCTACATATGGAGATGTGGTTGTTGTTCCTGGGAAATCTTTTTTAGCTTGAGAAAACTTCAAAAAATAGAATCCTTGGGGTCTTTGCATGGCTGGCATGCTCAGGTCACGGGGCAGCACATTGAGGACAGCGCTGGATCCGATGGGTTCCAATGTGGGCAAAACGGGGGAACACAACCTAATGGTTGGCCGTGTGTGCATCTTGTTATGCCTAGCCCTGGCGAAACGAATCTGGTGGTGCATGGAGCAGCCGAAGGGCAGCCTCCTTGAGGGCCATGTTCTTTTCCAAGCCTTCCTAAAGCTGAAACACGTGCTAGTTTCAAGGACAACCTGTAGCTTGGGATGGTTTGGGGCAGACACGCTCAAACCAATTTGGATTTACTCCAGCACCTGGGATCTTGAGGCAGCAAAGCGTTCTATTTTCACCGTGGGCATTCACCCTCATTGACATAGAAAGATACAAATATGGAGATGGATCATTTTAGAGCCAAAAAGGTCGCTTCATTTTGAAACATACTCAAATGGATGTATGTCAAATATCACTGGAAATCAAAATACAGTTTTATGAGTAATTACACTTTGTGAATAATATGCCCTGACATACTTGAAATATACATATACCTTGTAGGTGCCAGGTTGTCCAATCACCATGCTATATGTCTTTCTTCTCTGAAGCGTTGTTAGCCAAGGCAACCCCGAAGCCGAAGAGATTACTGAGTTTGAAAACCGCAATCTACAGTTGGCCAAAAAATCCCAGATGGTGGTTCATTACAAAGATGGACATGGTCGCAATCGGATCAAGGGTGGAAGTGGGTTGCGTGCATCGCAAAGCTACCCAACTTTGTCGCTGGGTGGATTCTAAAAAGATGTTGAAAAACAAGTGGAAAACATCGGGAACAGATCAAATTGGTTTTACGGGTTCTGGCAAAGATTTCATCTTCTCCCAAACAACGACCCAATTGCCAGTACAAACCAAATGATGGTGGTCGCACATACGTCGAAATAAGAAACAATAAATATAAATATCTATTTTTTACATCCATATGCATATATATATATATATGTGTGTGTGTGCGTGCTTTTATGAAACCACCATAGTCACCTTTGAATGTTGAAACCATTCCCAGCCAAGGTTTGGAACCGCAGTCGCAAAGGTGCGATCCAGGCACTTGAAGCGCAACAAGCTCCGAGCTGCAAAGTTCCTGCGCCAAGCGCTCAAAACGGCCAATTCGGCCAACAGTTGCCCCAGGATCAACAAGTTCTGGATGCAGCATTCCAATTTGCAGCCAGTTTTAGATTTCTTGGCCAAACAGTAACACACTGCTGGAACTACATATTTCCCATACAGGTTTTTGTAGGGGGTCAGGCAGAACACCACTTGTGATTTTGCAGTGGGTAGCTCGCTGTAGGCCATGTCAGAAATTCAATCCTGTGGAATACCTACAGGTCGAAGCCATTCGCTTTTGGGGAAAACCACAGTTTGCTTCCTGTTTCACCTAAAATTCAACAGGGTGGACATAATTTTCATCACTTCCCAAAACCAACCTACCCCAAGCCAAGAAGGGTGCACACAGCAGGGGTATGCTTCCATCGCAGGTGAGTGATGGGGCGCTTTGTCATCAAGAATGTTCTACAGAAGTGCAGAGCCCGAGGCCAACAGACCTTGGGGTAGGTACCTGGGAGGTTTCCAAAATTAAATGTGTTCACGGTAAAAAAACATACTGATTTGCATCATTTCACTCATGCGACCTGTAGAGAATTTCATGCGATCTGTAGCGACCTCCTGCGATTTGTAGGAGTGATCAAAAATTTCAATTTACAGTTTTTAAATCACACAGAGCCCGATCCAAAGGCAAGCATTTTGCTCTCAGTGGGCTGGAGGGGTTTGGGCCCATGGCTAAGTCCAGCAGCAGCAACCCTAAAAAGAAGTCTTCAGTGCGCCAGTCTGCATTGAAGAAACCTGCCAACACTAGTGTGGCAAAGTGCATGCTGGGCACCACCAAGAAAGACAAGACAGGGAAAGCAAAGGAGTCCAGGATTAAGGAGGAAGTGTTGAAACTAGCAAGGGAAGCAAAGAAAGAAGAGGATCGTAAAAAGAAAGGCGCAGGATCTACCACCGGAAGCAAGGAGAAGAACAAAGAGAAGAAGACAAAGAGTGAGAAGGCCAAAAAAGCCGACCAGAAGGAGAAGCCAGCTGTGGCGACTGATGGCAAGAAGGAGAAGAAGCAGAAGGATGCAGACCAGAAAGTGCAGAAGGAAAATGAGGAGGATAATGGGAAGCCAAAGACTGAGAAGACCAAAGATGAAAAGACAAAGAAGAGCCAAGAAAAGAAGAGTGAAGCCAAGAGTGAGAAGAAGGAGGCTCAGAAGAAGGAGAGTCAGAAGAAGGAGAATGAGAAGAACGAAAGTGAGAAGAATGAGAGAAAGGCAGAGAAGGAAAGATTGAAAAAGGCGAAGGAACTTGAGAAGCAGCTGGATGCTGCAGCAGGCCTCAAGACACCACCAGCGAAGCGTCTTCGAATGAAGTCTCCAGCAGCAAGCACTGTCAGCACCACAGCCAGCTCTGATCAGTACAAGTGCACAATGTCCAACAAGGAGAAGGCAGAAGCTCACTTAGCAAAAAGGCAAAAGGAGCTAGAAGGATCAGCAGCAGCAGCAGCGTTGAGAGCTGAGATGGACAGCGCAGGCATGGTAGACCTACTGGACTCACTCAAAACCAGCCAAAATGAGGCACCAGTTTCGGAAGCTCTCCAGAGAAGCCACCTCAAGGAGGTCGAGGCCAAAACGCATGATCCTGAATTACAAGAAACCTTGGCAGATGAGTTGGAGGAAGATGAAGAGCAAGGCGAAGAAGAGGAAAAGACCGATGATGATGAAATGCAAGGGCAAGATGAGCAGGTTTCTGATGAGGAGAAGGAAGATGAGAAGGAAGAAGAGAAGGAAGAAGAGAAGGACAGCTCTGATGAAGGAGAGTCGGAGGAGCAGGCTTCGGAAGATTCGGCAGAAGAGAGCCAAGAGGGCACAGAGAAGGACACAGATGATGAGCCGAGCGAATCAGAAGATAGCAGTGAAGAGACCGAGGCTGAGGACAACGGTGAGGAGAACGGAAAGGCTGCAAAGTTGACTGACGCAGTGGTCAACACCAAGCGCAACAGCGACTAGGATGCACATTAAGGTGACATACAGTAGTCAAAATCAACAAGATCCTACACTCTGAGTGGACAAGAAGCTCAAAGGTCTATAGAATCTTTCTTGGTGTTGCAGCACCCACAAACTGTTTCTCGCCCTGAGTAAAAGGGTCTCGAGAGTCTATAACAATAGAAATAACATCTGACACCACCGACAAATTGTTCCTTTGAATCCCTAAGATCATCCATTCTGAGTGAACAAATCAAAGAAACCGATGGTCTATTTTGTTTTTTGGTTTTGGTGTTTCCAATCAGTTTGTTACCACTTCACCACTTCCTAGTTCCTTCCTTGACCCCTTTGAATTTGCTTTGATTAAACTCCCAGCTGTCTGAGGCAAGACCAACAAGCGAGAATGGGACAAGTTTGACCGGCAGACCCGTTCTGCCGTTAAGTTCCCTGCATCGTTGAAGCCGATGCTGGTGCGACGCAAGCAGGATTTGTTTGCCCTTTGGTTGGACAACCAGATGGATTGGGACCGTGTCAAGTGTGAAGTAGAACGGGAGCAAGCCACCTTGAACCTTTCCCGAAAAGAATGGACAGCCGTACAGGCAAAGGACTTGCAGAAGCAGTACTCACAAGAGCGGTACGATGACATCATACAGAAACGAACGGAAGCCGGACTCTACTATGTGGACGATGACTATCCCAATGATCCACTGGACATGGGTTTCAAATATCACCATATTCAAGTATTCTCCCAATATCCCTTATAGTCGTGTTCCCAAAAGCAAGGTTTTAAAGTCTTAGTTCCTTCACTGTTTCAGATTCATCCCTTCCTGCTGTCCCCAGACTTCCTTGCAGGAGACCTGGTATTACATGCCCAAGGGAAATACTTTGAGAAAGGATGACACCACCAAAGAAGCCCTGCGAATCAAAGGTGAGAAAAGCTTGGACCGTGGCATGCTCAACGCAATGACAGGGGAAGATGGTCCTCTGCAAGCAGGAGCTTTGCCCAGTGTGAAAGCCCAGTCCATTGAAGGCGTCCAGAAAGTGATGAAAGCCTTGGATGACGACAAGAATCAAGTCACGAAGGCACCAAAGAAAAAGAAGGAGAAAGGCGAAGAAGCCGAATCAGTTGAACCAAAGACTATCTTGCAGTCAGATCCTCAATTGTTTTGTCCGGGTGGTTCAGCTAAATTCCAATAGCTTTTCCATTCAATAGATGACGATTAAGCTTATCAGTTCGCTCATCTTAGCACTTGACTGCTACAGATTGTTTGAACCAAACACCCAATCCAGGAATGTTGCCTAGCTGATACTAACTTCCTATTCATTCCCAGGGAAGAATGGTGTCACACAAGCATTTGCAAGAAATGTCAGTTCGCTCAACTTAGCCCTTACTTGATGTCATCACATCCAAGAAATTCAAAAAGCATTCAAAAACATATGTTGGATCAGTGACCAATGAAGTCAGGGCCTCGAAAAATCATATAGCTAATATAGTTGCGCAGTGGTTGGGCGATGCTCACAGAGGGGATTCAATCACATATATATAATATATTTAAATTAATATTATATTAAAATATATTTAAATTAATTTTATATTATAATATATTATATTTTGACATTATATTAAATATATATAATATAATATATTTATATAATGTATATATATATATATGTATATTTATACATATTATATTATTTATATATATAATTTATCATATATATATAATATCTGAAAAATATTATATATATTATTTTATATAAATATTATATCATAGATTTATAAATATATATTTATAACGTTTAATATTCAATATGTAATATATAACATAAAATAAAAGATACTATATATATATGTATGTATGTATGTACAATTCGTGTCAAAGCTGAATGCCCAATGATTCCAATTTGAAATTGAGCACGCTAAGGGGGTGTCAAACCTAAAATATGCTGCAATGCCACTTTGAAATCAAATGGACTCAGGGAGTGCCCAACTCACATGTTCCATCTTACATATTATAACTCCATTGAGGGGCTTTCGCACACACACACACAAATATATTGTCTTATTTCAAGATCAAACGCTTTGAAGTATTGTCAGACCCAAATACCCAGTGTTGACATCAAGTTGAGCCCATTTCCCAAAAAATGCCAAGCCTCAAGTTGCCACATCTTGCATCCTCCAAGATCCCTCTCGTCGCCATTCCGAAGGTCTGGAACTGAAGCACTGCAAGTTGTCCTTGACAAGGCGCAGAAGGCACGTACCAGGTCAATTCAGCTCGATGGCATGGAGTTTGCCAAAGAGTTGCCCCAGCAAATGTTGAAACATGCTACCGAAATGGAGACCCTCTATGGCCAGCTCAAAACGTTTGTGACAGCCGATCCAACCGATGAAAATAAAATCAAAGATGCTCTCGACCTCTTGGAAAAGAAGAACACGTGGTTTGAGAAAGCAGAGGTAAGGGTGGGGGAAATGTTCAACAACCTTTGTCTTTTCAACAATCTCCCACAAGATAACTGTAGGGCTTGCTATTCCTGATTATGTTGGAAATCACCAGTGTTGCCATGTCATGATATGAGTTATTATCTAATCCTGTTGCTCCCTGAGGCATCTGCTTCGGGAATCTTGAAAGGAGGCACGGGAGCCAGCAAACCGAAGCGCAAGGCGAAGGCCAAGGCCAAAAGTCAGGGTAAGTGAGTTCTCTACGTGTTTAGAGATTTTGGAGGGGCTTGCATGCTTGTGAAATCGAGCATGTCCAATGTAGGATCTTTAGGGCCAATCGTGAGTACTGCTCAGATTGTGGATTCGACGCTACAAGCTTGGAAAAAGGACTCATGGGATCCGATCTGTCTGCAAGGCTTATTCAATTTACTTTGTGATGGCCAAATTGTTTTTCCCAGCCATGTGAACATGTATATACAATGTCAAAACTGTGACAGCAATGTAAATTTTCAGCGTGTTTTTGATTGGCCTTCCATTAGTTTTACAGTTCGATACCATGTAGCATACCTATCATTGCCAGGCAAAGCTGGTCGAATGATGCGTGGACCGACTCCCAGTGTCCAGGGCAAGGGCATGTCCGCTACATTTGATAAACTTCTCGAGCTTGTGGGGACTGGTTCTAGCAACGTCATCACGGCTTCAGAGATTGCCAGGGCTATGGAACAAGATTCGCTTCCCATTTCACATGATTTGAAGCGATTGGCCAACTGTGGAACTCATGGGGCGAACACCAGCAACACTGAAAGGGATTTTCGCAGAATGGTTAGGGGAGCCTATGGATTCAATTTGGAGCCATACACTATCAAGCTCACACTTGATGAGCCCCACCTCAATTCATTTATCTTTTTTTGGGAAACCTAATCCACAGTTTTGATCACCGTTTATTCAGCCCAGCTTCGTCCCAAGTGATCGCTTTCTCAGGTGCCTGGAGAAACAGATCCTCAGCAGACCGATGCGTATGTGCTACTGCCCCATGAGGTCTTTGGAGCGGTGTATAGAACATCCCAGGCCATTGTTTTGGATAAAATGTTTCTGCGAAAATATGGTTGGAATACAATGTAACATCATGACATTAATAGGGTGTTTTATGACAAGCGATTTCAAAAATGGTTTATAGACTATGGTGCTCATCGTAGGTTTCAGAAATGTTTTGCAAACCCTGCCAGTTCAAATCGTTGATGCTGGGGAATCACAGCCATGATTCTATCCTACGATTCTGGAACCACCTGAAGACACTGCCTGGGTACAAGTACCACACCCTCTTACATTCTTTCACCCAAGAGGAGTTAAAGAAGACGGTACCCTGTTGTATCCATGGTGATGGCGCTGAAATGTTTCGAGATGATGAGTTCTGGGTCACAAACTGGAGCAGCGCTTTTGCTTCTGGTGGGGGGCACAAATGTTTGATGAGCCGCTACCCAGTTCTCATTGTTGCAGAACGTCAGATGATGACCGATAGTGTTCTTTGGTGACAACTGAAACATTTTTTAGCTTGAGTCAAAAACAGGGGAATAAAACGGGCTACAGCATTGTTTTGCAGTAAGAATGTGAAACCCAAGCCGACTAGTGATTATTAATTGTTGGGCAGCATTCCAACTCCTATGCAAAACGTGCTCCTGGAATTATGGTCGTTGATAAACACTTATTGGAAATTTTCACCAAACGTTTATTTCTTTTAAGAGGATATCACCCCCAAAAGACTTGAATTCGATTAGCATTCCAGCATATTTGTTTGGGTCCCATCCTTTAAATTGGAACAGGTCCGTGCAGATGTCAACAGGCAGATTGCCAACCTCATGGCATGGTCTTTGCATTATGCGGCCTTGGGTGTGTACCCACATAGAGGATTTTACGATGAACCTTTTGAAAGCAACACCTACAGGGCATCTTTGGCAGGACAGCCAATTGCCGGTGAATACAAGCCCCCAGTCACACCACAGCGTTCTTATTTTTCCAATTTAAATGGGATTGTTTGTGCGTGGTTTAGGATGCCAAAGCTCAAAAACAAAAAGCAAATACCATCCACTCCATCAATGTGCTTTTGTCAGGTTGACCTACATGGCTTTCAAGGCAGACCTGAAAGCACGCATGCAGTGTCATGAGCTAGAAGCTTACTACAGGTGTCGAAAAGTTTGTGATAGATGTGATGCAATTCAGCCTTTCTCTTCAAAGCCTGAGCCTATGACTTACAAGAACACCTCCCCAACCGCTCCTTGGGTTTTGACGTGCAAAGATCACCACGCATATATCAAAGAGGCCAAGTACATATCGCCGTGGTCGGTTGTGCAGGGTTGGCAATTTGAGACCATTTCCTTCGACATGATGCATCTAGTCTTCTTGGGCTTTGCAAGGAATCATGTACCTTCATGCCTGAAGATCTTGAAGCTTTGGGGGTATCATTACAATGTCGGTGAAACTGATGAAGATTTCCTCAAGAAGGTAAGTTTTGAGATGAAACAGGATTGCAAGGACCACAAGCCCCTTGAAAGCTATTGGGAAGGTTTTGATGGAAACTTATCTTGTTCCCTTTTTTGAGGACCGAAAATATCTCATGGGAGTACATAGAATTTTCCTGTTCTCATCATCAAGTTCTTTTGTGTTATGCAATAGTTTTTCGAGGTTATAGCCCAAATTTGATGTTGCTGCACCAGCGTGTTTGGACCAAAACACATTTGCGTTTGAGGATGTATCTACCTCAACGGATCCTTACAGTTGCAAACACTGGAACCTTTGGGTCTGAAGACTATTGCGAGCTTGGGTCACGCTTCAAGGCACAACATGTCAAGCTGATGGTCTGGTGGGTTGCCTACAAAGTTGGTAAACTCACAGCGAACTCCGATGCTTAATCTGATTTTTAACCACCATCACCTGTTTTCCATTTGCACGCAGAAACCATTAACCCAAAATAAACCAAATGGAATGCCACCTGTTTCCCATGCCACGTCAACACATATTTAGTGGGATTTGTTTTTATTTACATATCATATATATATACACATAGGTCTATATCGAATCCAAAATCCCGGTTCATAAGATACCAGGTTTATCTCAATTTACCGCATTGATATCCGATGCCCATACATGGGACAAGTGTCCAAGGATGACCGGATCTTGCAGCTCACGAATCTCTGCGCCCACTCCTTGGCAAAGGCGATTGAATTGATGGACCGGGCTGGTCTGATTCTTTCGGTGGATGAAGCACATGCCACCCAGATGATTTATGGTTTTATTGTCCCATCAAAATATGGGGACTCAACCAATGAACATCAGGGAAAAAACGAAACACATGGATTTTTTCAATCAAAATATTAGGGTTTCCCAGACAGGAAAGTACAGCAAGCGACTCATATCTAGTCCAAACCTGGAGAGATTGGGTAAAAATGGATACATACAAGCGAGTATTAGATGTAAGTCCACTTTGGTGGTCCAATGGTGGTACAACGGTTCAGGGAACCAATTGGTAAACTATGTGGATATAAAATAGGTTTTAACCCGTATATCATATATCATATATCACACCGCTCTGCAACTATCAGCCCATTAAAAAGGTGGAACCAATATACTGGGTTTCAACCCCTAACGGATTTACGGGTACCCTCCAAAGCAATGCATCATATTTTACCATCCTTTGGGGTCAGCTCAGGAAATTTCCAGGTTGATGCGCATGCACCTGAGAGCCACTGAGATTCTTGCGTCTTATTGCTGGGATGCGGATATTTTAGCTTTTAAGATGCGTCCAAAACACCACTATTTTTGGCATCTGGCCATGGATGTTGCTTCGACAAGGGTAAGCCCTTGCCTTTTTCATGTGTGGGAAGAAGAAAAATTCCTTGGCCAAATTAAGCGAATAGCCACTAAATGTCATGGGGCAACAGTCCAAAGAAGAGCTTTGGAACGGTATGTCCTCGCCTTGTCAGGCTACATGTCTGAAAAGTTGGCATAGCAGCGGAAAGTGCCGCCAATTTCTTTACCGTCAGATGTTGACATGTTCTTTCCAAATTGCATAAACTATTGGATGGATGCCGTGTTTTGTTTTTCCCCAAATCACACGCCTAGTTTTTGGTTTGTAAGAACTTGGCACCAGGGGTCGCTGCAGGGGTTACTTGCCAAGAAGCGGAACCAATGTCTCCTAGAGACAGGATGCAGCCGCTCCAGAAAACCAAAAGCAGCAGCCATGGTCGGCAGCCTTCTTGTGATCCCAGAAAAATCATAGTTCACCTTCTTGTGAAGATTTCAGGTTAGCATGCAGTTCTCGGATTCCATTCTTTGAAATTTGAATCGAAAACAGTATCGAATAACATGTTGCAGCATTGTTGCAGCTGTGTTTGCGGTATGAACCCTTCAGCCATTATTTTATTTTTTGCCAATAACCCACCAAAGGTTATGGCCCAAGGTTTGAGTAAAAAAAATGCGGGGACAGCTGCGCTGTACCCTTGAGTTCAGAACGGTTAAAACAGAATTTGTTCAGTCAGAGTTGTTAAACCATTATCTTAACAAGAGTGTGTCTGAAAATGTCATCACCTCCTACATTGTAAAGCAGATGATGGGAACCCCGGCTATAAACGCATAAGTAGCAAAGTGGTGTCAGCACTCAGAAATTTTAATTTTGGTATATGAATGTATCATGGAAACCATCTAGAAATAGACATCGTCCAAAATCGAACCAGTGGTATCCACCAACATAAGTTTCCATCCCTTCAAAAGGGTTGCGCAATATATATATATAATTATATATATAATTATATATATACATAATTATATATATATATAATTATATATATAATTATATATATACATATAATTATATATATATATACGTATGAATGGATTGGTAGAAATATATATATATACACACCCATATATATATATAATGTACGTATACAACTTCAGGGAAAACCATGTGGTCTGTTGCAAACATGTTGGATGCCACACCGGTCATGTCGTTTGTCGCAAACCTGTTGCATATACCAAACCGGTCATGTCATTTGTTGCAAACATGTTGGATTCCACACCGGTCATGTCGTTTGTCGCAAACCTGTTAATACCAAACCGGTCATGTCGTTTGTTGCAAACATGTTGGATTCCACACCGGTCATGTCGTTTGTCGCAAACCTGTTAATACCAAACCGGTCATGCCGTGGTAATTTGGTTCTTTCCTTTTTGTTTTGCAAACAGTCTTCTCAACAACCATATTTATATATCTATATATATATATATATATAGATATTTGTTCATATGAATAGACATATAATATTATATATAGATGTGCGTGTGTGTGTGTGTGTGCGTTTTCTTTTTTTGCGTTCTTCGCTGATATCCACGGCTAAATTCCGTGGCATACCAATGTCTGCACTCAAAGTGCGCTATATACATGGTTTTTAGCCTGCGCATGTCGTGTTACAACATAACGCTGTCGCATGCTGCAGCAAGAATGTCGCAGCATCATGCATCGATGTCGCACGTTTCAGCAATGTCGCGGTATAACATATCGATGTCGCATGCTTCAGCAATGTCGCAGTATAACATATCGATGTCGCATGCTTCAGAGCATCGCCGATCGATGTCGCAGGTTTCAGCAAGTGTCGCAGCATCACTGATTGATGTCGCAGGTTTCAGCAATGTCGCAGCATCACCAATCGATGTCGCACGTTTCAACAATGTCGCAGGGTCACATATGGATGTTGCATGCTTATAATAATATAGATTGTCCGAGACTTCCGACAACGTTGGATACACCCGACAACGTCTTTTGCCTCCTGTTGCCATGTTTGTCCTTTGTGCAACGTTAGATCCTCTAAGCAGATGTTTCCAATAAAGGTCACGCGTTTGTCACAAAGAACCTCACAAGGTCAGAGTGGAGCAAAGATCCAAAGGGACGACAGGCAGTCGAAGCCGAAGAAATTGGTTTGAGAAGAAACGGAACTTGAGATGATGACTCAGTCGCAACCCTTGACAGCCTGAAGCATCAATCCAAAGTCTGCCAGACCCCCGTGAAGATTGCATCTTTGCACATTTTTTGTGGCATCAAGCACTGGGAACAGCCGGTGGAAGCCCACAAATATAAAGGGAGAATTGTATACAGGGGGGATCTCATCAGGAATGAATCGGATGAAATTGTGCTCTATGCCGACACGGCAACAACTCCAACGGCGCTGACAGCTCTCAATTTGACGCTGTTCTTTGGCAGTTGCGAACACAATTTGATTTCACTTTCTGATGCTATGCAGGCTTTCCTGCGAGCACTGATCGAGGAAGAAACATGGGTGTTAATACCGTATGAGCTAGCTATAGCTTGACATTTGGAAATCTACCTATTCTCCCAGCGCAAAGCTGTGTGTGCGACTCTTGAAGTCGCTTTACGGACATCCGTTGGCTGGCAAGTTGTGGCAGGTTGTTCTAGCAGAAAGACTGCAAAGGCTCAGTGGCGTGGAATCGGAACTCTACAAAAGTAACTGGATCTTCAGAAGGAAGGACCAACCAGTTTTGCTGAACATATATGTTGATGATCTCACATTAGCAGCAAGACATGATTTACATCATGGCATTTGGTGTGAGCTTCGCGACATCGTCAAGCTGGATCCAGAGATCTACGTCACACGTGAAGGTTCAGTCATCCTTGGTCGTACTCATAGATTAGTTCGTGACGCGCAGGAGTCCACCATGTACTATGACATGCGATCATATGCCAAGCAAATTGTACCATTTTACTGTGATCTTTGTGGGGTATCGGAAGAATATCTCAAACCCGTTCCTTCCCCAGCACTTCCAGAGTCAAGTATGCAAGATGAAGAAGCAGAGAAGCAAGGTGAGTTGCATCGTGGTGCTGCCAAGGCATCAATGCGCTTGCTTTGGTTGAGTCGCCTCAGTCGACCCGACCTGTCGTTCATCATAGGCAGACTCGCCGCTTCAAATGTAAGTAGGTGGAGTAAGTGGGATGATCGTCAGCTGCATTGAGTAGTTAGTGATTTGAAGCATACCATTAGCTTGATGTGTTGTGGTCGTGTTTCTTTTGCACAAGCCTGAGCTGTGTGTATACACAGGTGAAGATTTTGCTGCTTGCCCATGGACTGCCTGGTCAACTACAGGCATCTTCATCGGAAAAAAGACGGGTGACAGTCTGTTTCCCGTACATTGCAGAGTCGCAAGCAGTCAAGCATTGCACGTTCTCCACCTGAAGCTGAAATGATAGCTTTCGCAAGTGCGTTGTATGGCGAGACACCCCATGTTCACGAGGTACTCATGCAACTTTTTGAAACTGACATCGACACATGAAACTGGAACAGGACAATGATGCAGTATTAAAGATCATTAGCAACAAGTATTCCGTGAAGTTACGTCACTGCAATCGAGTTCACCGGGAGAACATTGCATGTATATGCGAGACCCCGGAAAAAGAGAACACACTCAAACTGAAACATTGCAAGAGTGAGTTGCAACGCAGAAACGCGTTGACAAAGGTGATTCCACCATGCCAGTGGCAAGATGCCTTGAACCAACTGTGTGTTGAACGAGGTTGATTTCCACTTGACATTGCATCCTTTTTTTTGATGCCCGGAATTACATTTTGGACCAGCAAGTACGGCGTGAGGGGGGGGTTATCATGTCATGGTGTATATTGAGGTATACGTTCCACCCCTACATGCTGTTGCTGTGTCTTGTCTTTTGTCCATTCAAGCTGTAACGCGCTGCTACTACTTTGTCTCAAGTAAAACAGGTGTTTGCCGCCGTTCATTGGGGTGGTGTGTTGGTAGGCTGTGCATGCCACACTCAACAATATATATATAATATATATATATACACTTATATTTGTATATTTTCATTATATATATACTAAGGCACTAGCAGATAGAATATTATCCAGTGTTCAGAGATCGAAAAATTTGCGGGTGAAACCTGGTCTCCCGGTGAGAGTATTCTATCTGTTTAAGATGAGTAGCAAAAAGTTGATTTCGCGTATATATATATATACGAAATCGTTGATATTGTGAACTTATAAATTATGGAAATATATCTCTGAACTCTTCTATCTGTTGGATCCGTGTATATATATGGGGTTTTCTGCATTTTCAATGGTATATTTTATTCGATGAAGAATGAATATCAACAAAATCAACAACTTCATATCAATATATTCATCAAAGAAGGAATCATCACTGGTATCATTGGTCTGTTGGAATATTCTATCTGTTGGTTTCATGTATATATATATAGGTTTTCTGCACCCTCCATGGATTACTGACTACTGTATCCAACAAAGAATGAACTTTTAACGTTTCAATTAATGAATTTGGGTGATCTCGTTGAACTTCATATTTTATCTATGAAACCACATAAGAATTGTTTCATCAAAAAGTGAATATCACTGGAATATTCTATCTGTTGGTTCATGTATATATATATATAGGTTTTCTGCATCCTCCATGGATTACTGATTATTGTACCCAACAAAGAATGATTTTTTAACGTTTCAATTAGTGAATTTGGGTGATCTCGTTGAACTTCATATTTTATCTATGAAACCACATAAGAATTGTTTCATCAAAAAGTGAATATCACTGGTATCATTGGTCTGTTGGAATATTCTATCTGTTGGTTTAATGTATATATATATATATATATGTGTGTTTTGAACCTATGGGATAATGTTGTGTTTTATGCATGTCATTGTGGATCACAGCATGCACGGTGAGCGCAGTTCCAGCAACTTTGCAAATTTCAACGGTATAAATAGAAACATTCAGTTGCGTTTCTGCATTGAACACCAAACCAAAGTTACATATATATAGGAATACTAGATTCGATTGGTGCTGTTTCTGTGGGAGATGTTGAAGGTATGGTTTTGGAAGAATTCCAAAATATAATGTTATCTGTATATATATTTGTAGATTTTTTCTTTTTAAACGGTCTTCAAAAATCAACAGATAGAATATTCAGACTGGAATGCCAGCTTTGCTGGCTGCCAGTGGTCACATTCTATAAATATCATATATTAGGAAAACATTGGCACAAGCCTTAGCAAGAATACAGTTTTCATGTGTTTGGATGTGCAATTAGTAGAAACCACATGCAATGTTTTCCTAGTCATCCCATAGCTATTCAATCATCTGAGGGATACACTATTGTGGAAAACATTGACATCAAATGCAACATTTTCCCGGCAATCCCATAGATAGTCAATGATTTCAAAAATATAACATCATGGAAAACGCTGAAACCAAATGCATCATTTTTTCTCAGCAATCCCATAGAGAATCAATGATTTAAGGTATGGAAAACATTGAAACACAAATGCAATATTATTTCATTAATCCCATAGAGAATCAATGATTTTAGGGATACATCATTTTTGCAGGTGAGAATATTCTATCTCTTGATTTGCTTGCAAAAATCATCAAAATCATATAGTTTCTTTAATGTTTTGCTTATCATGAATATTCTATCTGTTGGATTTGCTGATAGCGTTTTGGACTATTCTATCTGTTGTCCAGTGTTTTTTGAATATTCTATCTGCTGGTGACTTAGTATATATATATACACTTATACATGTATTATATTAGTAATATATGTTAATGTTTATTTGGTATTCTGGGGCCCCAAAACATGGTTGACAAAGGAAAGGTGTCCTATCGTACGGATTATGGTTTATCATCTTGTGGAGCGCACCCGAGACCGTATCCAAAGCACTATCTTTGACCGTAATATCAAGAAGGTGTGTCCCAGCGAGCGTTGGGAGGCCACAAATCGTGTCTGCGAGCCCAATCCCATGGATTTCCCACTGGTGATCGATTTTCTCTGGTCGGACCCCAAGGGCGCCAATGGCTATGGACCCTCTACCAGGGTTCCGATGGTCTACACCTTCGGCCCAGATGTGGCGCAGAGATTCTTGCAGGCCAACAACCTAAAGTATATGCTCAGGTCCCATGAGACCAAGTCTGCTGGGTGGCAGGACTGAAAGGCTGATGCTGATGCTGCTGATGCTGAAGGGGTCGAGGTTGTGAAAATGGGAATTTTCTGGGCACGTTCTGATGAATGCATGTTGCAGTGGAAGCATCTCCAAGAAGGGAGGAACTGTTCCAGAATGCATCCCAAACTCTTCTTCCGGAGCGCTCAGTATCCAGATGTATCCAGTATCCTGTCCGGACCACTTTGATTCGATCATCCCGTCGACTCCCCGTTTTCAGCCCCAGGAGACCATTCCCAACGTTATCACTGTCTTCAGTGCACCGAACTACATCGACCGCGCAGGAAACATGGCAGCTGTAGCAGTTCTCACCAATCAGGGGGGGAACTTGGACAAGCAGCACCTTGGCCGCCAAAGATAGGACAATTCACTTTGTATATTCACCACAAATGTGCGCTCCCCCGAAATTTTGCCAGGCTTCACATCTGGATCTATGTACCCTGGAAGCATGGGGCGATATCAAGTAGAGGGCAGACATGTGGCCTCCACCCAGAACACGAGTTTTGGAAGACCCTGACTCCTGAGGTTTGTCCAATTTCAGCATCAACCTCATCCCGACATTGAAAGTGGCGCTTACATGAAAGGCAAGTCTTTGGCACCGGCATCGTGATGCCGACCTTGGGAACCGGTAGATCGAGATATCGAGATGCTGGACTTTTTGAACTCCGGCCGGTTTTTGGGAGGATGGATTCCAGGCGGAGTCCAGGCTTCCCCAACATTTTTATGTCGCACCAAACAAATTAAAACCGTGCGACTTCCGAGATCACCATGTCAAACACCGGAGCAATACAGTTAGAAAAGTGGGTTTGGAGATGCTGGGAAGGGATGACGGGCTTGGGGAACTTTGGATTGACTCACTTATCTTCGACTTGCAGAATTGGCTCGTGATGATCCTTACAGTTGGTCCTGTATCCTCTAGTAAACCTTTGGTTGGTCAGAGGTGAATGGCTCAACATCATTGACCCTCAAATCAATTTGGTTCAAAGAGCTATATAAACACAGTATTCACTATTAAGCCAATTAATTAATGGATCATTGTCCTTCAAAATCACGGTCAAAAACAGTAACAATCAGTAAGAGTCAATTAAAAACACCCATGACCCAATGACCCATCAGTAGGTTGATGGCATAGCCCATTTCTGGTGGCCCCAAGGCGATGTTACAGAGCTTGTTCCTTCAGCAGTTGGTCTTGCTGCGACAGCAAGCCGCCGTCAAGTTTGGCAAAGCTTCCCGTTGGGGGACCTGTTTGATCCCGAGGGTCTCAGATGCGAGACGTGGATGAATAGCTGGGGGTCTTAGGTGAGGCTTCAGTTGTTTTTTTTCCATGAAATGGTCATCAATGTTATCAACATGTAAACAACCTTTTGGACCCGATTGGCAGATTTTCGTCAATCCCCAGGAAGATGATCCATAGCTCTTGACCAGGACCGGTGGAAGCTGTCTCACAAGCTGACCAGCTATTTGTGACACAGGCACAGTGCTGTGCCGCTTTCAAATGGGGAAAGGTCCAGTCTTAATTCGTCTCAGTAACATAGAGAGGGATTCCTGTTGGAAATCACGTGTGGGGGACACCGGTCATAGTATTTCTATTCAAAGAAACCATGGCCTGGCATTGTTTATGTCGAATCTCAAGTGCTAGCTGCTTCAGCGCAAAGAAGCGATGTTTTTTTTGCTGCTGACGCTAGTGTCACATGTTCTGCACACTTCCGCCATGGAAGCCGGGTCCATCGACCGAGAATAGTGGATTCAATCAAGTCCTTTCAAGTTTATTTACCATAATCACTAAACATTCACCCAGGCTGAAGTATCCACAAATACGAAATATCTAAAGATCAACCAGAATCATGGGCATATGCAAATACCTCTATCTAGGTCTAGATACGTAAATAATGGCGACGACACATAACAAATGTATATATATATATAAACAGTATCGTAAATAGTTGTAAATCTAGTAAATCAATATAGATACCAGTAGTACCGCACAAGGCGGTGGCGGAAGTTTCAAAAATAGGAAACCTATAGGAGAGATTAGTTGTTGTGATTCACGGATGGCAGAGCGAATCCGCTGATGGACCGACAGGTGGTTGGAGTTGTGTTTTTCGGAGTGGTTGCAATGGTTGCAGTGGTCGCCTTACCACAACTGCTGGATGTAGTGTGGTGTAGTGCAGTTGTAGTTGTAGTTGTAGCTGTAGTTGTAGTGTAGCGTAGTGGAGCTGTAGCTGTAATGTAGTGTAATTAGCGCATTTGCAAACGCAGCTGCATTTGTATTCGTGGTGTGGTGTAGTTAGTGTAGTGTAGTGCAGCGTAATGTCGTGTAGTGTTGTGTGGTGTAGTGTGGTAAAATGTATATAGTGTAGTCTAGTGTAAGGTAGTGTAGTTGTAGTTGTAGCGTGGTGCAGTGTAGTTAGCCTAGTGTAGTATGCGTAGCGTGGTGTAGTGTAATGTAGTGTAGTGCAGTGTGGTGTAGTGAAGTGTAGTGTTGTGTAGTGTAGTCTAGTGTAGTATGTGTAGTGTAGTGTACTGTAATGTAGTGGTATTTGTAGTTGTAGTTGCAGTTGCAGCTGCAGTTGTAGTTGTAGCGTAATGCAATGTAATCAGTGTAGTGTAGTGTAGTGTAGTGTTGTGTAATGTAGCGTGGTTCTAGTTGTATTTGTAGTTGCAGTGTCCTGCAGTGTAATGAGTGTAGTGTAGTGTAGTGTAGTAGTAGTTGTTGTTGCTGGTGTTGTAGTTGTAGTTGCTGTTGCTGTTGCTGTCGCTGTCGCTGTCGCTGCCGCTCTCGCTGTCGCTGTTGCTGTCCCTGTTGCTGTTGCTGTTGCTGTTGTTGTTGTTGTTGCAATTGTTGTGTTGTAGTGTAATTAGATGTAATTAGCGTAGTGTAGTGTAATTAGTCTAGTGTAATGTAGCCTAGTATATTTGTATTTGTAGTTGTAGCAGTAGCAGTAGTGTAGTGTAGTGTAGTGGTAGTTGTAGTTGTTGTAGTTGTAATTATCTATCTATCTATCTGTCTGTCTGTCTGTCTGTCTGTCTGTCTATCTATGTGTGTCTACCTGCAAGCTTGAAAATGCAGCTATTTTGCGACACTTCCTCAATTTTTGAATTTGACAACATCCAAGACGAAGGGATTCTGCGAGACTTCCTCAATTTTGGAACTTAACACCATCCAGAACGAAGCAATTCAGCGAGACGTCCTCAATTTTTGAATTTGACAACATCAAAAACGAAGCAATTCTGCGAGACTTCCTCAAATATGGAAAGCTGAGTGCAGAGCTGACGGCCTCGTACCAATGTGTTTTGCGATTTTTCCACTCCACCTGTCTAAAGTACTGCGCCTGCCACGCAAAAGTAATGCCAGGTTATACGAAGTGCACCTGTCAGGCAAAATCATCTTCCCAAAACTCAAGATCTGATGCTCCAAAATGCAACCCCTCTCAGGAAATCAGCGCCCTCACCTCCTAACATCTCTGATGAACATGTCTCTTGTACTGCGCCTGCCACGGAAAATGCATCTTTGCAGATCCTCTTCAAATGCCCCACGCCTGCCATTGTTTTTGGAAATGCTACAAAACCCTCACCTTTTGCTCACTTTTGACAAGGTGCACAGCCCCCTGCGCTTGCCACGCAAAACGACATCTGAACGTCCAAACGTCCAAAAGTGTTCAAAACTTCGCGCCACAACCGCGTGCACTTTTTCGACATCTCAACTTCCAAAAGTGCTCCGAGGCTGAGGTGTCTTGTACATGTTGACTTGGAAACGTGCTTCGCGCCACAACGGCGTGCAATTTTTCATCTCTCATCTGGCCAGCTGGCTCCGCACCCGTCGCTTTCGCGAGCCTACTTTTCGACCCTCCGGAGCCACAAATCACTGGAAAAACACATTGTTTCGCGCACCTGGGTCTTCTTTCTTCGGAGACTTTCTCTTTTTGATCTTCTTTCTTCTCTTCTCTGACTCTTACCATCTCTGCTTTTCATCTGTCCATATTGTCGGAAGTTTGACTTCTAAACTTCTTTCGATGACATAGATAAATCACACAAAATCCAGAACCCATGACTGATGGAATTTTCACCCATCCCGTTCCGCCAATCTCCGCCCGCGCAGGCTGAAGAGCTAAAAAGGCCCGGCAGCACATGGAGCTACGACGTGGACCGCTACGCCCTGCGGGCCGTTTTGGAAGGCACCTTCCGCCGCGAGGCAGTTTGGGATGCCCAGTATGGTGATGGAATGGGAAATCTGGCGATCTGTTTGATAGAGATTGATAGAGATCCAAGAAACTGAATTTGGACAGGTCGAGTTTCTCTTTTTTTTGCTCTTTTGGAGGAATCTTCTTGACCTTTTGGTGTTTCGGGTCGCTGCCGCGAGCCGGTGGGCCGAGGCTTATGCTGATGAGCATCGGACGGCCGTGGGGATCTCAGGGGCGGCTTTTTGCGCTGATTTTCTAGTTAGCATCCGGTTTAAATGGGTTTCTAATTGGAAAATCATCAAATCTTATTTATATACATGGAGCTGTAATGGGTTTTTAATGGGAAAGCGATCAAATCTTATCTAAGTAATTAAATGGGGCTGTAATGGGGTGTTAATGGGACAATCAGCAAATCTTATCTAAGCAAATGGGGCTGTAAAAGGGTTTTAATCGGAAAACCGTCAAATCTTATCTATATAGATGGGGCTGTAATGGGGTTTTAAGGGGAAAATCATCAAATCTTATCTAAGTAAATGGAGTTTTCATGAAGTTTCAATGGGAAAAATCCGCTAATCTTATCTATATAAATAGAGCTGCCATGGGGTTTTAAGGCTGTAACCGGGCTTCAATGGGAAAATCAGCAAATCTTATCTAAGTAAATGTGGCTTTACTGAGGTTTTAATAGGAAAGTCATCATCAATATTACCTAAGCGACTGGTGCTTTAATGGGATTTATCATCAAATCTTATCGAAGTAAATGGGGCTGTAATGGGGTTTTAATGGGAAAACAACCAGATCTTAGCTAAGAAAATGGGGCTGTAATTGGGTTTTACTGGGAATATCATCAAATCTTATGTAAGTAAATGGGGCTTTGCCGTTTTTTTTTCAATGGGAAAATCATCAAATCTTATCTGAGTAAATGGGGCTTTCATGGGGTTTAGTGGGAAACTCACCACATCTCATCTAAGCAAATGGGGTTGTAATGGGGTCTTAATGCGAAAATCACCAAATCTTATCTATATTAATGTGGCTGTAATGGGGTCTTAATGGGAAAACCATCAAATCTTATCTATACCAATGGGGCGGCAATGGCGCTTTAATGGGAAAATCATCAAATCTTATCTCTATAAATGGGGCTGTAATGGCGTTTAAATGGTAAAGTCATCAAATCTTATCTACATAAATGGGGCTGTAATTGGGTTTTAATGGGGAAATCATTAAATCTTATCTATATTAATGGGGCTGTCACCGGGTCTTTAATGGGAAAATTATCAAACCTTATCTATATAAATGGGTGGGAAATGGCGTTTTAATGGGAAAATCAGCAAATCTTATCTAAGTAAATGCGGCTTTAATGGGGTTTTGATGGAAAAACCATCAAATCTTATCTAAGTAAATGGGGCTGTAATGGGGTTTTAATCGCGGTTTTAATGGGAAAATCAGCGAATCTCATCTAAGTAAATCGGACTTTTATGAGGTTTCAATGGGGCCATCATCAAATCTTATCTAAGCAAATGGGTCTGTATTGGGGTTTTAATGGGAAAATCATCAAACCTTATATATCTAAGTAAATGGGGCTTTAATGGGTTTCTAATGGGAAAACAACCAGATCTTAGCTAAGAAAATGGGGCTGTAATTGGTTTTACTAGGAATATCATCAAATCTGATCTAAGTAAATGGGGCTGTAATGGGGTTTTAGTGGGAAATTCATCATATATTCTTAGAAAGTAAATGTATATAAATGGGGCTTTAATGTGTTTTAATGGGAAAATCATCCAATCTTATCTATATAAATTGGGCAGTATTGGGGTTTAATGGGAAAATCAGCAAATCTTATCTATATAAATGGGGCTGCAACGGGTTTTTAATGGGAAAATCATCAAATCTTATCTAAGTAAATGGGGCTGTAAGGGGTTTTCTAATGGGAAAAATCATAAAATCTTACGAACGCAAACTGGGCTTTAAAGAGTTTTTCGTGGGAAATTCACCGAATCTTATCTATATAAGTAAATGGAGCTTTAATGGGAAAATCGCCAAGTCTTATCTAAGCAAATGGGGCTTTAATGGCATTTTAATGGGAAAATACTGAAATCTTATCTAAGTAAATGGGGCCGTAATAGAGTTTTATTGGGAAAACAATCAAATCGATCAAATCTTATTTAAGCAAATGGTGCTGTAACCGGGTTTTATGGGAAAATCAGCAAATCTTATCTAAGCAAATGGTGCATTAATGGGGTTTCAATGGGATAATCATCAAATCTTATCTGCATAGATAGGGCTTTAATTGCGTTTTGAAGGGAAAAATCATCAAATCTTACCGAGATAAAACCAATGGGAACTTCATCAAATCTTATCTACATCGATGGGGTGTGAAAGGGGTTTTAATGAAAAAATCATCAAATCGGGTTTAACCTGTTTTTTTTACATGGGAACATCACCAAATCTTATTTAACCAAATGGGGCTTTAATGGGGTTTGGAATGGGAAAATCATCAAATCTTATTTACATAAATTGGGAAAATGATCACATCTTATCTACATAAGTGGGGTTTTAACGCGTTTTCATGGGAAAATCATCAAATCTTATAAACATAAATGGGTGCTTTAATGGGGTTTTAATGGGATAATCATCAAATCTTATCTACATAAATGGGGTGTGAAAGGGGTTTTAATGGGAAAATAATCATCAATATTATCTATGTAAATGGGTTTTTAATGTAGTTTTAAATTGGGTTTTTAATGGGGGAAATAATCAAATCTTATCTGCATAAATGGGACTTTAATGGGTTTTGAATGGGAAAATCATCGAAACTTATCTACATATATGGGGTTTTAATGGGTTTTTAATGGGAAATTCATCAAATCTTATCTACATAAATGGGGTTTTGATGGGGTTTTGATGGAAAAAAATCAAGTCTTATCCATATAAATGGGGTGCGAACGGGGTTTTATTGGTAGCATCATCATATTTAATCTATGTAAATATGGTGTGAATCGGGTTCTTATCTGTGTAAATGGGGTGTTCATGAATGCGGAAAACATGGAAGTACATGGGGTATTTTCCAGCAAACCATGTTTGATTGCCAGAGTGTAGAAGGCATCAAACATACCGACATGGGGCTATAACAGAAAAAGACAACCAGCCTGAGGGGGGTTCACCAATGATTTTGGGAGAGAAACCACAGAAGATTGTGGGTATCTATGATTGGTAGCCTCATTGTTTTTATTTGAAACGAGATGATAATCTCATTCGACTTTCATATTCTCAGGGGGTCCATTCCGCCACGCAGTTTGTTCTTTGGGATCTTGTTGGTCCAGCGTACTGGGCATGTTTGCCTGAGTGTTGCAAATATCCTGTATACTGTATATATATGTGTACGTATATATATATATATAAATAAATAGAGCGATGGGCATAGTGAAACCACGGCAAGAAAATATTAACAATGATTTAACATTGGAAACACATAACGAACACACACACACATATCTATGAAACTATATATAGGTGTTTTCATTTTGGGCACATATTCGCCTCATTTCCATATCGCTGCCATTGAAAATTGCACTAAATTGAGCAGTGTTCAGATTTTTTTGCTTGATGTCTATATGGGGTTATACCATGGAATATGTTGGAGATTATCACAATCCCTGAACTGGGAATCTCGTTCTTAAACTTAACCAACCAGGATTATATACATTGAATGACGGAGGATTTTGAACACTGCTCAATTGATTCCAACTCTATTCAGCAGTCACAGCACCTTTGTGCCGGACTCGGATTCTTACAGCCAGCATTTTGCAGGCCCGTTCTCAGCAGTCCACAGTGGAGATCATCAGTAGGCCATTGGTGGGGGCCAGATCTAAGTCGTTTAGTTGGTCAAAATCAGAACATCAAACTCCAACTCCTACAAGGTAAAGCCCAGATACCCGAGCCACAACTTGCAGAGATTTCTGGTTGCTGGTCTGATCGGTTCCGACACTTCATGTGGTGATCTTAAAGAAACAGTCAAAGCCCAATTTGTGTTTTTTTACTGTTTATCATTGGATACCCCTCTCTGATTGTGGAAACTGACCCCCAAATGGCTGGAGGCTGCAAGGCCAGATGGAGAATCTCCAAATGCGACTGCAGCACATGCGTCCCAGCCACAGACACCGACAGACACCTAGGGTTGAAAGGGTGAGCATATGGCGCAAAGCCATGGAGTATATCGACCATTTCAATAGGGAACATATTATACAACTGGTGGGTTTAGGGTACACTATTTTCAGAAAAAACCATATCTGTTCCATGGTCAGGAGTTGAATTAGATACCCATGTTGGGGGATGGTCCGATGAGTCATACCACCACCATCAATTTTTTCATGGTAGGATGACCGTAACCCATATACCATATTTTGACCGTAGCACATTTTGACAGGCTAGGCAGGTTGTCTCACCAAGCCAATTGTTGTTTGGTTGAAGCCTTTTCTTGTTTTCTTGCAACATCCCATTTTGGCGCTGCTCAATTCTGAGCTATATTGATCCGTCGCTAGAGTCATTTTCTGTTCCTTTGCCACTCCAAGAACTATCGAATTGCAGTCGGCTGATTGTTAATCACAGGCAGCAAGAAGAAGAGCGCAGCACCAAGATTTGCTGAGGTGCAGGTCAACCTTGGTTTCTCTCCAGTTCTTACAGGTGCTGCGCTCATCATTTGAAGAGTTTCCTGCCGTGAGCTTCACTAGCAATCAACCTGACTGCAATGACGCCATCAACCACCATGGCTGCCTATCTGCCAAGGGTTTCTACTCCCAACCAGCCGCTGGCTCGACCTGAGGATTCCTGGTACGCCAATTACGATGATTGGTCGTTTCCAGCAGGGGCGTGCCAGCATTGAGCTGAACTTGGCGGCCGACAGGCTTGTCAAAGGGGGCAGTCATAGCTTGGGGATGGTTGGACGGTATGATGAGATATGATGAGATATGATGAGATATGATGAGATATGATGAGATATGATGAGATATGATGAGATATGATGAGATATGATGAGATATGATGAGATATGATGGTCAGTGCCTTTGGCCCGTTAATGATTTGAGGCCGAATCCAATCCTCTAGCCTTCTCAGCTCAAAGAGTTCCTCGATCCCCTGCCTCATTCATGTGTCTGGGGATCTTCATCTCTGGATTGGGCTGTGGCCTAGTCTCAGTGAGCTCGCATCGAGAGCCTTCCGAGGGACAGCCGTGCTCGTGTCAGTGCCATTGTGCTGCTCCCGCGGTGGAGCACAAACAAGAGTTTCTATCCCTTCGAGATCTTGTCTTGTTTGCCTGTTTTTCCATTATCCTGATTGGTGCCATTTGGGTTGGTGTTCAACTGCAAAAAACACCAAAGACTGAGCCGTGGGTGAAAGGAAAAGGGAAACGAGGGGTCTTTGGAGGAGGAGTAGCTCTAACTCTAACCATCAAGGATGGCGCAGATGCAACCAGGTGATGTGCGTTATCTGGACTATGGTGAGTTGCCCAGATTTGGCATGTTCGATTGCTTGGAGGTCACATTTCCTTTGGGCCATCATCACCCCAGACGGGGATGTCTATGAAGAGGAAATGCCCCCACACAATAGGGACCTCGGCGGGTTTATGTAGGTCAAATTCCGCCAGGCGTCGACCCAGCCTGCGTCTATGGCTTCAGGGCCCTTTCAGCGATTGAGTATCAGCAGTGCATGAGTCAAGCTAGGGTGTATGCGGCTGGCATGAAGGCTTCATTGGGCAATGGCTGCAGGCTACTTACTCTTTTGGCCAGCTCACCGCGGAGCATGGCCAGGAAATGTTTGTAGCCCAGTCGGACATTAAGGACTATTTCTACAGCATCGGATTGCCTGTTTTTCTTTCATAATATTTCTGTCTGCCTCCCGTCAGGCCTGAGATGTTGATGGGACGCATTCCAGAACTTCAGGCTTGGGCAGGTGAGAAATTAGTTTGTCGACAGATGAAAGTCGTCCCAACGGATCCGCCAGCACCAGGTGATGATCGGAGCGGGCATTCCGCACGAACAAGTTCTTGTAGATGGAAGGCCAGCCCCAGACCTGAGTCCAGGGGCAACTGTCATTGTTCCCTACGCTGACAATCTCAATGTGATTGGCGTTTGCAAGGGTGATGTGCAGAGAGTCAAGGATGCAGCTGCCAGCCGCCTTCGCCAGGTGGGCTTTCGGGTGCATGAGGAAGAGGATGCCTCAACCTATGCCAGGGCCTTAGGGCTTTATCATTGACGGAAAGAAGGGGAGGATTCATCCTCGGCCAGAAAAACGGGACAAGGTCATCTCAGCTCTCCAGCGGCTGGCAAAACATCCAAAGGTATCAGGACGGGCCATTGAACGCATCATAGGGCATTGCGTCCATTTTTCCATGTTGAAGCGGGAGTTCGTGTCGATTTTTTGATCTGTGTACAACTTCAAAGATGTTTGCTATCACAAGCAGTGCAGGCTATGGACGACTGCAGCGCGCGAATGTGAGTGGGCAGCCAGCCCATTAGTGATTTGCGAAGCTGATCTGTCAAAACCATGGAGTCCTATTGTCACTGTTTCAGACGCTTGTTTAAGTGGCACAGCAACATGCAGCTTGAAGGCAGACGCTTGCACAGTTCGTGAAATTAGTAAGGCCCAGGAACTCTGGCGCTACGAAGGGAATGGAGCAGCGCTAAAAGCTCGTGATGCAGTTAAGAAGTTGGATCCATTTCAGGATGTTGAGACAGTTTTGCCATGGAAGCATTTTTTGACCCCTTCCAAATTAACAAGTACTTTCAAGATGTTCCACACGACATCGCCACCTCAGATGATCGGAAGCTGCAGTTTGCAACACCAATGCACATGAAAGAGCACATCACCATCTTTGAGGGAAGGGCCACGGTTCAAAGCATCAGGCATGTTTCATGGTCATCAACTGCAAATTTCAACAAGAGGCATCTTCACCTGGGTGACGATGTGGATATGGTTCTTGCTTTCGACAGAGGTAGGGCTACAAGACTTCCACTTCTATTCTGTTGTCGGAGGGCTGCTGCATATTCAATTCTGTGATCACAGGGTGCACTTTTCATCACAGATGGATTTCGTCAGAATTTAACTAAGCAGATGGTCCTTCGCGCCGCTGGGAAAAGAAGACCAAAGGTGCGCCAGCCTCAGAAGCCCAAATCAGCAAGAGCGTCAAGCAGATCCTCTGCCCAAAGGGGAAGAAGACAGGTGAGGAATCCTTGTTTGGATCCCCAGCCATTGATCATCCATGCCTTGAAGGAGGCTGTTTTCACCGAAGTGAGGGGGGTCCCATCGCTCAGCTACGGCATCTGCTCCGTGGAAAAGACCCGCAAGAGAGGCGCAACAAGAGGGCCAAGATCACCCAGGACCTGATTCCAATGTTGCGTTTCAAGGGGCAGACCATGCTGGAAAGCTTTGCGGTTTCTCCTCAAACAGCTCTGGATTATTACCGCCGAGGGGTGATATTCCATAACTTCTGCCAGCTACAGGGCTTGAAGGACACTTCCCCTGGTCATGTAGACCAAGCACTTGGGATTTTCCCCAACTAAGGGTTCATCGAGGGAATGGACATTTTCGAGGCGTCAAAGTACTACGCTGCTGTCCCGGAATCAAGCGTGAATGTCACCAAGGCAATGCTGAAAAGAAGCCAAAGAGCATTGGAAAAAGATGGCGGAATCTGGATCCAGGTCAGTCGCGAACACCACCTCTGGCTTGGCCTCTAGTGAGCCTAGTTGCTATGACGCTGTGGGAGATGGGAGAGAAGGTCGCAGCGCTTTGTGTGCTGACCATGTTCACCACCTATGGGAGACCAAACGAGATCCTCAAGCTTCAAAAACAAGACCTGGCCAAAAGCACAAAGTTGGGTGTCAGCTGGGCGTTGAACCTGAACACCTCAGAGCAGATGTTCACATCCAAAACGGGCGTGGCGGACGAATCAATACTGTTGGACAGCCCAGTCATGTCGTATTTGGGCCCGGCACTCGAGAGGTTGGCCCAAGGAGTCCCGACTCTGCCTCTTTTCCGGTTGGACTATGCGAGGCTCCTACAGCTTTGGAAGCGGGCTTGGACGCAGATCGGCATGGAACCCAACTACCCAGTGCTATATCAATTGAGGCACTCTGGAGCTTCATGGGACCGTCTCAAGCGTCTCCGAACAACTTAAAACTCAGAGGCAGGTGGTCAGCAGACAGCAGCTTCAAGAGGTACGAGGGTCTGCCAAGGTTGCTCAGTTGTACAAGAAGTTTCCCCCAAAAATAAGAAGGTTGGCCGATGCATCTCCTCCGTAGTTAAGGGAGATGGCTATGGGATTTTCGCACCAATAGAGCCTAATGGACTGAAGCCTGTGATAGAAATGTATGCAGGTCGAGCAGCCATGTCCAAACAGCTCCGTCGCGTGGGTTTCACAGTGCATGCCTGTGATATGAATAGGGGTGTTGGTGGTGGTGACGTTTTGAAATATGAAGTGTTTCAAAAATTAGCCAATGCCATCAAATCCAATACTTTTGTCCTTTGTGCATGTCGGAATGCCATGTGACAGCTGGTCATGTGCACGAAAGTATGATGGCGGGCCTTTGCCTCTCCGTGATGACTTTGAGTTTCTTTGTGGTATTCCTTATTGATCCTGTGGTGGTCTTGTCAAAATCAGCCGAGGAAATAGATTGCTTAGGCGCACATTTGAACTTGCAAAGTCATGCTGCCCCAGCAACGCTGCATGGACCAATGAGAATCCTGCGTCCAGTAGAGCTTGGCTTACCCATGAGATGGACGAACCACGAAAGGTGGAAGCTGTCCCCCAACCTGTCTGCTGTCAATATGGCAAACAATGGAAGAAAACCACCGTTTTTCTTGGTTGGCATGTTCCCAACTTCCAATTTAAAACTTGTCAGGGAACGAAGGTTTCTGCTCCGCATCGCTAAAGCGTCATTTCATTCTTTCTGGCCGTGATTCTGATGGTATCTTTTACACCCTGGTGGCCCAACCCTGCCCAACTACTTTAGTGACCTCAATGGCTTCGCCCCTCACCGCACTTCTTTTGCAGCATACTCCGGAGTCGGGCGTGGGACATGGAAATCACACGAATGCCACTTGAAAAGTGGTGCCGTGTGTTGCTTCAAAGCCTTTTTGAAATGACTTGGGCCTTGGGTCATTTGCTTCAAGATCAGTTGCCACAAGCTTGTGGACCTTGGGCCAAAAAAGTTGTCAGCTGGCGAGTTCTGGCCTCGGGTGTGTGAACCTCAGAAATCATGACAAATGAGAGATATGCTGAGATATGATGAGATATGAGGAGATATGAGGATATATGAGGAGATATGATGAAATATGAGGAGATATGATGAGATATGAGGAGATATGATGAGGTATGATGAGATATGAGGAGATATGAGGATATATGAGGAGATATGAGGAGAGATGGGGATATATGATGAGACGTGAGGAGATATGATGCGATATGCTGAGATATGAGGAGATATGAGGACATATGATGAGACGTGAGGAGATATGATGCGATATGCTGAGATATGATGAAATATGATGCGATATGATGCGATTTGATGCGGTATGATGAGATATGAGGAGATATGATGAGATATGCTGAGATATGATGAAATATGATGCGATATGATGCGATTTGATGCGGTATGATGAGATATGAGGAGATATGATGAGATATGATGAGATATGATGCGATATGAGGAGATATGATGAGATGTGATGAGATATGATGAGATATGTTGCGATATGATGAGATATGATGAGATATGATGCTATGCCTTGTTGATCTTGTTGGCTTAGATGATTGTTTCTGTCGATGATCTCAGTGGCGGCAGCTTGTGCACGGTGCAGGGATCCCGTCACGGCAGAAGCCGGCTTTGTCCGGGGCAAGGCCCTCAGTGCGCTTTGGGTGGGCCAACTTTAAGATCCTAAGCCCTGGTATGTCTATGTCAGTCCACACCCATTGGGGTTTCTTAAAATGAGGTATCCCGAAAACCATGGGTTTCAAATTTCAATACTAAAAATAAATTATATAGTCTAATTTTGGATGATTTGGGTTCCCCCTATTTTAGGAACCTCTGGTGGTATCTCTGGAAAAGGTTGAGAGTTTTTCTTTTGTCATTGTTCTTTTGCAAAACCACCACCTCAACTCTTGATTTTTTATCCGCAGGATGTCGGTCTAATTTGCCAGTATTTCTTGAAAAAACATGTCACGTGGTACTCCTGTACCTTTGCCCCCCAATGCAATGCTGAGGTATTGGACCAGCAAATCTGGGTGTCAGTGCCAATTTTGGCTTTTGAGGGCAGACTGGCCAATCTAAGTTTGCTGGTTTGGAGGACGGCAAGGTTTGATTTCTTTTTGCAGTGAGATGGCAGTGGCAATGTTTTGTTTGGCGCAGTGATCTCAAACTTTCCTTGTATTGCAGTCTTTGCATCCACAGTTGTATTTTGTTCCTATCATACGAACAATGTGACAACATGTTACATTATATATAAGTAGTGCCCCCCCACAGCGCTGATGAAAACACATTTCCACAGAAGGATTGGAGGATTGACTTAGGGCAGCAAACCGTCCCCATCAGTCCAGGAGATGTGTTGTGTCACTCCCGGCTGTGAGATAGGCCGGAGATATGCCAAGTGCCTTCGTGCAAAAAAAAGAGAATCAATCAAGGCTTCAAGGGTCGCCAAGATGTGCTTCCGATTGTACTTTTCGTTCAATTCAAAGGTCCGAACCCTTTTGGTTTGATATTCAAAGGCGAACCCATTTTTTTTTCTGGCAATGGCTGCGGATGGTTTCTGCACGCAGACGACTCCAAACCAAATCAGTAGAACCAGGGTTATGGCACCGCTTTGGTGCCTCGGAGACTCAGTACATGCCATGTAAAGAAATATAATACCACTCTGTGAAATTCAGAGCCCAGAGCTTCTCATTCCTGCTTTTGCTTCTCCTTCTCCTTCTTCTTCTTGTTGTTGTGTGAGTGTTTTACAGACTACACCCTAACTCATCCCCTTAACTACAGGGGTCGGGTAGTGGCCCGCCTGTCCATCTAGTGTTGCACCCGGGTATTGAATCCGGATCTGACGCATGAGGGATGCGTCTTATCCACTAGACCATACCGGCCCTCTCTTGTTCTTCTTGTTGTTGTTGTTGTTGTTGTTGTTGTTGTGGTCGTCGTCGTCTTCTTTTTCTTCTTGCTGTCCCCTTTTTGATGATGATGATGATGATGAAGTGGAGGAGGAGGACGACGATGACGATGATTATCGCGGTGGTGGCAGTGGCGGTGGCGGCTGCGACTTGACAAGTGTCAGCTTCATAAGAGCAGAATGAGCAACAAAACTGTGCTGAATGAGTCTAAGCAGCTTAGCCATAAATCATCATAAATTATCATAGTGGGCAGTGCTCTATAAATCTTTAACAAATTCATTTCTCGTTAGTCGTCTGGCCAGCAGAACAATTTCCTTTGCTGCTATTTTCCCTCAAGGTCGGTGTTGCATACAGATCATGAACCTTGATTTCTGCGTCTCATCGAAATTACGACCCAGGATTTTTTTGATTTTGGGTTTCCTCTACCCAGGATGCTTACTACTTTATCTTTTCGCTTTGGCCCCGTATGAGCCTCAGTCCTACTCTGTGTAGACTCTAGGTACAGTTCTAAGACCACCTTTTCGCGAAGCACTGAACAACCCTGGTAGAGCAATAGCAAGAACAGCCAGCACTGATGTCAGGGACGTTCTATAAAGCAATGCTCCAACCCACGACTGTCACAGACATAAACAAGAACCATCAAGCTTTGGTCCCATATATCATTTCCACACTCAAAGGCATACTATGAGCGCCTTTTTGCACCGGTGTGCAAGTGGCTGCCACAGCAAAAAAAAGATGGCCTCTGCATCCAATCCGCCCTGGCGAACTTCAGTGCAGTTTTCTGAGCTTCATTCAGTGCAGTGAAATGATTAGCCAGCTAGGATCTTGAGGAAATGACCAGCCTGGGGACCCAACTGCCATAACCGGCGGGACCGCCTTGATGCCATGGACGCCGCCACTGAAAGCGCGGAAGCAGTGGCTGAGAGCGGGGCAGGTGAGGGCAATTGGATTATGTCATATCATGTCATCATTCCCAAGGAGATGCAAAAGGAAAAGCAATGGAGAATTGGTAATGGAAAAGGGCAATGATTAATGGATGTCCACTTTGAATCATTTGGCCCGTGGATCGATGCAGCTCGAAGTTCAGATTTTTGATGTGTGGCTGGATCAAAGAATCAGAATCAATGCGTCTGGGTTTGGCTCATAATTGTTGACTCCCAATTTTGGAGCCAACTTGGTAGCGTGTGTGTTGGACTGCTGTCTTTTTGTTGTCTTACGTTAGCATTTCACATTTCAACTTGCTCTTTCATCTCTTTCTTCCATTTTTTTCGTTCGGGTTTCTGGGAACCATTTGATGCTCAAAATCAAATGATACTCTCCGGAAACTGGAAACATAAAATTTTAAACAGGCAAATCATCTATAAAGGGCAATTTTCCACAGCAAACGGTCAAATTGCCACATGATTTTGACTGGATGTGGGTGTGCTTTGTCCCGCAGGCCCTGAGGCCAGCACTGCCAATGGTGCAGCACTCCATGCTGCGCCGCCAGTTCCCCCTCCGAGCCCTTCGGCAAACTCAATGCGACAAACCTCCTCAATTTCGGCTTTGCCACATTTCTAGAATAGTTTCACCCTGGAACTCAGGTTGCCACCCCTCTGATTTGGGATGTTTGGCTTGAAGTCTGGTTTGAACTTTGCTGTAAATTGGGATGCAAAGCCTCAAAACTCTATGGTTCGATCCCTCTCTATCAGGGGAACAATGTCATGCCGAGGTGATCCACCAGAGGATGCGAATGCAACTGCTGTGCAAGGTAGAGAGGGGCATCTGGGGTTGGCATGGCACAAAGAGGAAGATGCTGTGCTTGTTGGGTTTGAATCCTCCTCCAATCACGACCCCAGTTTCAACCCAACTTTTAGTGGATCTAACCTGACTGATGGGTGGCAACTGGCCTCATGGCAAGGGTATATAAATCAGTTTGAGGCAATTCCGTTCATGCTGAGGGATGACATGCCATTGAACACGCATGCGATTGTGTGGAAGCAAGATGAAGGCATCCTTGGATGCAAATCAAGGCAATTCCATTGGCAAGGTCATTTTTCTGGAGAACGCAGGATGTTTCAACACGTATTCTCCAATGATTTAGCACATCGGCTGAAGATGTCCGTGCTGTTGCAGGCGCAGAGGATGGTGGTGGCGGCAAGGGGAACAAGAGGCTGGAGATTTTGAGAGCCTGCCACGCTGTCCGAAACAGGGGTTACACTGCTACTGTCATGGGAGCTCTAGCACGAATTTGATGATTCGATTGCCTATATATCCATTCTGTTTGGAATCAGGTATAGTATATAGTTCAGATTTTCCCTCTGTTATATATATATAATTATAAGCAGTTCATGATAGTTCCTATATTTTGGAACGATTCCCCATAGTTCTACAATCCAGAAATAGTTCAAGTTCGGTTTTGTTATGCCACACTTAAGTCATCATTTGAACCAATGCTTAATGGCTTGAGGAGAAGAAAAGGTCGCGGCCTTGGAGAGATCTGTGGAGTGAGTTGAATGATTTAGTTGTTGTTAATTCACTGATATCGTTGTATCTATTTTATTTTACTACAATGCTTGTTGACCATTCATATTTCTACAAATAGTTCAACATTTTTTCTAATTTTCTTTTTGATTGGCATCCATGGTAGCTTGATTCTCAGAAAGAACTTGGACATCGATGCAACCCTGACGTTGCTCTGCGCCGGAATTGTGGAAGGGTTGCGTATTTTTGACATGCCATGTTGGTGGACTTTCGATATGTAGATGTATATGTGATCCATGATGATGATGATCATCATCATCGTCATCGTCATCGTCATCGTCATCATCATCATCATCATCGTCATCATCATCATCATCATCATCGTCATCGTCGTCGTCGTCATCGTCATCGTCACCGTTATCGTCATCGTCATCGTCGCCGTCATCGTCATCGTCATCGTCATCGTCATCGTCGTCATCGTCATCATCATCATCATCATCGTCATCATCGTCATCATCATCATCATCATCGTCATCGTCGTCGTCGTCGTCATCGTCATCGTCACCGTTATCGTCATCGTCATCGTCGCCGTCATCGTCATCGTCATCGTCATCGTCGTCATCGTCATCATCATCATCATCACCATCATCATCATCATCATCATCACCATCATCATAATCATCATCATCCCTGCTGAAGATAAGTTGATGATGTTGTTACCAGATTCAGCATATTTGTCATAGAAGGTGGTGGATGTTTTGATCCCTTATGAAGATAATTTGCAGTTATTCCTTAATCAACATATTTGTCAGAGGGGGTCCTGGATTTGTTGATCTCTTTTGAAGATAACGGACTTGATTACCCCATTTAACATGTTTGTCAAAGGGGGTGGTGGATGTTTGATCCCTCATGAAGATAAGTTGATGTGATGACCACATTCAACATATTTGTCAAAGGGGGTGGTCGATTTTTGATCCCTTATGAAGAGAAGTTCCCGCAACTACGCCATTCAAAATAATTGCCAGAGGGGGTGGTGGGTTTTTGATTCCTTATGAAGATAAGTTGATGTGATTACACCGTTAAAAAATGCCAGAGGGGGTGGTGGATTTTTGTTCCCTTATGAAAATAAGTTGATGTGACTACACCATTAAACATATTTGTCATGTGGGGTGGCGGATATATGATATATATTTATAGAAGACATTTAAGTTCATGGTTTTACACCATTCCACATGAAGTTGACACATGATGATGATGACGATGATGATGATGATGATGACGATGGCCATGATCATATGATAGTGACGAACATGATGGTAATGATGATCATGATGATGAGATCATGATCATGATGATGGTAGGATCATGATGATAATGAGAACATGATGGTGATGATGGTGATGATGATGATAATGATGATGGTGATGATGATAATGATGCTGATGCTGATGCTGATGATGATGATGATGATAGTGAGTGTGGAACAACGTCCGGGTTGGACGGAACTTCTTGTGAAGTGACCATGTCTGTTTTTTTTTTGTAATTTGGTTTTAACAAACCAGGAATCTTGATAACAAACAGAGCTATGAGCCAGACTCTAGTTTCTTCCAGGGCCACTGGGCGGCCACCGTACATTTTCAGTAGCATCACCCGTACGGCAGCTTTTGGTCGCATAGCGATTGTTGAGGTGGCGATGGAGAGAAGCAGTACGACCTGGTGGGAACAATCAGGATGTTCAACGCAGACAAAGGCGCTTGGGTTTTGGCAACTGCCGATGCTGCAAATGAAACAATTTCCCCATGATTTGAGGCGCACGAATCGCATGAACATGTGATGGGAAACAAGAAAGGACTCAACGACAAGGGTGGAATGTGGAGGCTGTTGTCTTTGCCTCGCAATTGCCTTGAGCAGGTTGGGGCTTCATAGACGGTGATGCAGGCTGCAAAGATATATTTTTGTGATCTCCTGAGCATCTGGAATTGGGACAAGGGATTCAACATCCAGCTGCCACCGATGATGGCAAAATTTACAACAGACCATGGATTTGCTGTGGGAGGCCATGCATTCAATGCATTCGACCATCAAAATTGAATTCAAGATGCAGGGTTCACGTATCATTTTCAAGATGATTTACCCAAAGACTTTCCTTTTCTGCCACCAGGTTCATATTGTGACCAGATTTTGCCAGCCTTTTCAATCCGCCCCATCTGGTGCTATCATTTGGTGGTTGCTGAGGCATGCGAAACACTTTGTGTCAGCACGGCTATGTTGGAAACTGGAGATGTGGCAGTCAACATGTGACCACCATCGATGAACATCCACAACCAGCTATTTCTGCACCCAACTATGGCCAGGGGGAAGCCTCCAAACTATTGGATAGGTGGTGGCCTGAGAACGAGTTCCGGGAGGTGACCCTCTGGTGAAATCTGCATCTGATGAGGTCATAAGATGCAAACCAAGGACGCAGCGACAGATTTGGGTTGACGGGATCTAGAGATATTGGCAACCGTTGATGTTTCCGGTCAAAATAAGATCACCATGACCAGTGAATCATTTGCATCATTTGGGTCCGCGAGATGTTTGGTTTTAAGATGCAGCGATCATCTTGGAGGCACCAATTTCCAGATTTCCAGATGCAAGAATCCATGGCTGCATAGCGACTCTGAAAGCAACCACCAGTGGCATTTTCGACGCAATCTTTTGTTCTTTTGTTGGGATCACACGTCTCTGTGGGTAGCTTCAGGACAAGCATGTGGTGTGGATCTGAGTTTATTCACAGTGCAGGATGGTGGCAAGTAGCATTTCAGCGTCACTTTTTCGTTGATCCATTTGTCCGTCGTTCGAACTTGATTGACATCAATTAAACATATTAGAATCAAACGCCCAGCAAAGCAGCATATTTCGATACAGCATGTAGTTCTTCCGCATAAACCATCCATTCACATTTTTGGGTACTAGCACTGACTTGCACAGATCAGCCTGCAACTGCGCAATGAAAGTCTCACCCTGAGGCTCCGAAAGTCTCTGAGGGTCCCGTGCGAGTCACGCCCCTGCCATAGACGCTTCATGTTCTGGGATCTCGGGCCTTTACCATGAGAAAATGGCAATGGAAAACCCAGTATGAATGATTATATAAATATATATAATTCAGATAATTCAGAATGTAAATGGAGGTTTTAGTGAGAAGATCATCTCTGAATGGGCCGTCCCACCTCCAAAGTTCTTTGCTTTCTCCAGATTCCGCTTTGGGTTCTCAGTTTCTTTTGACCCAGGTTTGACATGTCCTTGACCAGCCAAGGGAAGCCGCAGGCGCACGACGGCATCAAGACTTCCTGTGTAGACCAATTCTATTGAGAAATGAAATTTCTCCCTTTGATTTGAAGGGTGCATTCATTCAGTTAGTTCCTACTTTTCAGATCTTTTCAAAACATCGCTTCTTTTGATGAGCAGGCGATCTTGGCAGTTTCTCAAGTGTCCTGCTGAAAGGCCTTGAACGTCAAAATAACCAGTGGCCACAAAGAAGAACTGGAGGACTCAGCCCTGTTGCTAGATTCTGACTATAGCAACCCCCAACAAGATGCAGAACGGCAGGTTCCAACTGAAATAGTGATCAACGTGATCAAATTGATTCCTTTTGGGGCTTGCTTTGATGGGCTGGGTTGTTGTGTCACAAACCGGACAACCCACAGCGCAGGGCTTTTGTTCGGATCCCTGGGGCCTTTTTTTTTTTCGTGCATGTCTCAGGACGACGATGGTGCAGCTGTCACTATATTGACACCGGAGGGGGGGCTGCCAAAATCCCGTTCCTGAGAAATGCCAGGCCACTGCTTCAATCCAATTCCAAGATTTGGAAGAGGAAACGGCATATGAAAGTTTGTTTCTGGAAAAGTTACCGCTGTTCCTATCGGATCCCAAAGCCCACTTTGTGGTGCAAGCCCACCATGCCAGGTGAGGATCGACCGAGGTGCCTTGGCACAATTTGGATCTAAATAGGATACACCGCAGAAAAATTGAGATTCCCAGGTTCCCAGGTTCCCAAGAGCACGGTTGGCGAGTTCAAAAACAGGAAGGAACGGCACCCTGCAACCCTGGAACCCCGGAACCAGTTGGGTCACAAAGCTGGATTAATTTTGGATAAATCTTCATGTTAACTCACATTGGTTCATATCCGATGGCAATTCATCAATTATCTTCCATTGTGTCATCACATGGTTGATTAATTCTCATATTTTGCGACCTCCCGGTATATCCACCACGAGGGTTGGTATAATCCCCATCAGGCTTGCAACAAAAATGGGTGGACAACCCCTGTGGCTCTGTCTGATGCGGAAAAAGACTGCTCTAAACCACGGGTCTTGGCTGTTTTTTTTCCCATTCAGCAACACATCATAAACATATAAACTAACAAAATTTCTTGCAGTTTATCAATCATTATCATTTCTAAATGTGCCATGGTCAAAACATGGGTTCCTTTTCACTCTATTCATCCCATGGTCTGCAAACCTGCTAGCCTGGGATTAGGCATTGCGTCCGCCTGGAGTGTGTCAAAACATGGGTTCCTTTCCCATAGAAGGATTTGTCATCAATCCATTTTCATATGGATTTTAGTATAATATTTTCAGCATTCCCAATATGAGAAGGATGAGCATTTGCCATATGTTTTCACCATACTACATCTATTCAATAACCCTGAAAAAGATAGAACCGTAAAAAATCCTAAGAATCCCACTCAAAAATCGTGACTTCTCTAATTTACCCCACTTTTTGGTACATTTGTTGCTTAAATTAGGCCAATTTCAGGCGGCTATCGCCCACCTGTGAGACGTGTGGATCCACCGTGGCGGCGCGGCTGGGCCTCTCGGTGCCTTGGCGTCGAGGGAACGGGTCAATGGATGCTACACACACAGAATATATATATATATAATATAATATATAATATAATATAATGTACATATATACATATATACATATAAAATCATATAAATATTCTAGATATAAAGATACACGTAAATATGACAAATATGAATATGAACATAAATATAAAGATTGGTATAAAATATATGATGTATGATGTATGCTGTATGATGTATAATGTATGATGTATAATGTATGACATCTGTCATGTGACACATGATATATATATATATACACACACTTTATATACGTACATACACATACATATGCTAATAGATGGATGAATCCATTCTGCTACCCATTTTCCATGGCGGATTGTCATGGGGCGATCCCCATCAACCCACCACGGTGAGGTCTGTATCCTTTGTAGCACACCGGTGAGCCGTCGATGAGGCGCAAACCAACGGGCATGGGATGAGCACGTAGATGAGATTTGGCAAAATTAGGCCTCTCTTCATTCGTGATATTTTTGGATGGGAAGCGTTTCTTCACATTATGCCGGGCTTTCTGTGTGGAATCATTTGCTACGCCCTGAACAACCCAGGAAGGATGTAGGGAGAACCGCAATAAATTCCCTTGGCTGAAGATTTTCTGGGTCAGCACAGATTTTTCTTTGAACCCATAAAATGACAGAGCGCAGCTGTTCATTTTTCCTTGAGGTGAGAGCATCATGCGCGCCTCTGGCGAAAGGTTTGGGCAGAGATGAGATGGCCATAGTAATCAGAGAATCTCCATAACAAATCCACGAAATGGAGAAGATCCACCTCCACGGTGGAAGTAATTTGAGATTACCATCAGTAGAAAGGATGAACTTCTGCATCGGTAGGATGATCTCTGAGAACTAAGTCTGCCCCCTGGATCATCCGGTAAACGACTATCGGACACGGCAAGTGCTTGAGAACGCAAAACCGCGTAGTGCGCTGCGTGAAACTTTTCTTTTCGATTGCTTCAGGTCCCATCATGCTGCAACATCTTTAGTAACCACGCTGATCGGACATAGTCGGGGTGCAGGTGCCAAGATGATGAATTGAGAATTGAGAAGGAGTTGATCTGCAGTCGAACTCTGGCTGATGGAAGCGTGATATGATTTTCAATACTATCCTGTTGCACAAATGGTCAGCAAAAAAGCCTAGTTACCCCAACGCCATTTCAACCAATATTTCTATTTCCAGAACCTGTTTGAAGAAGAATGCCCTGATACCGATGGTGCATTTCATCACAACTCCTGATTCTCTTGCATGTGGCCAGTGCATCCCTTTGGAAAGTTAAATCATTGCAGAGATGTCAGAAACAGAAGAAACTCAAAGCCCGGGCCTGCAGCAAAACCTTCGACCGAACACACATCGCAACAAGAATGCAGTTTGCCATTTTCTTCAGTTTTGAATGTCCATGACTGATGCTTGAACCCGACATCATACATATGTATATATATATGTATGTATTCTCACATCATGTAAGTGTATATATAATATACATACTTATTGTAATATCATGTGTGTGTAAGTATATGTATATATATATACGCAATGGTGCTTAATCCAAATCCCTCAGAATTGCTGGCATGTCAACCACCCAGTAGGGATTTGTGACACCTGTCGCCATGCCATGTCACTGGCTGCCCTTCTTAGCGCGGCTGCATGGCCAGCTGCGGTCTCTGTGTGTTTGCTGGAGCGTCTTGGCTATCCAATGTGGCTGGGTAAAGACCCCAATCAAGATGTTTTATTTTTTGCACATCATTCAAAAGTGGAAAGCATCCAAAATGACTCTTTGGTTCCTCTTTTTTTGGGCAGTTTCCCACAATTCCCCCCGGTTATTCAACGTAGCGAACTGGAAAATCACCATTTTGAATAGGCAAATAGTTAGATAATCATAAGTAAATAATGTATAATATAAATAGGCTACTTTCCATAACTATGTTATATAAATAACCAGAGGGGAAGGGTTTGACCCACAACCGTACTAGTCTTGAGTTGTGGACCTCTGCCTCACCTGAAATGCGCCCCCAAGGAGATTGCAGCATGAGCCTTTCTGGGACAACGTGCCCATCTTGGCGTTTGGAAGCCAAATGGTCGGATTGCAACTAAAGCGAGAGATCAACTGGTTTCAAGGGCCAGGTGAGAATCATGGTCCTACTTGAATCAGAATGTTGGGACAACCATCAACGGCTTTGTTGACGAGAGAATATTGACAGTTAAGCCGACAGGACTTCCAGTCTTGCGCATGCCATTTTTTCTACCCGATTTGTACCTGCACGCTGACGAGCATGCACAGAAGCCGTCCGCACAGGCGATAGGAGTGAATGCTGATGCTTCTTTCCGCTTAGCCTGTCATAAAGCCCAAACTACGGACACCCTCAAAAATAAGGGATGTCCTGTCAAATTTCCAAGGAAAGCCATCATCCCAGCCTGCCCCCAGGTCTACAGTGGCCACACCCGGCACTGCAGCAGCCACCTGCCGTCCGAAGAGCAGCACACTTTTGCCAGCCACGGGCGCTCTGGAGCTTTGAAAGGGCAGACCACCAGCAGAATTTAGGGGGATGGTGCTGCCAAAACTTGGGGATCAAAACCTATCACAGTAACTATTTCTATTATTTATACTTTATAACATATTTTGGGGATGAACTATGAACATCCATTTAATTTATCAATACTTATCAGCTGTTTTGGTCTGAACTACAGGGGTACAGGATTTTGACCCATATTCATATTAAGCTCACAACACTTGGAGCGGTGACACAAGCAGCATTGAGTGCGTCAGCAAGTCGATGCTGGTTCTTGCCTTACAGAAATAGTTTGTAATTTGATACCCTAATGGCCCTAATCAAACATGGCAACGGAACATCCTCCATTTAATGGGATTTTCCTATTCGAACCTCCATTTGCAAGGGATTTCCCATATTTTCCCATGATTTTTCCTATATTGTCCCGTGGTTTGTAGTTATTTTTTTCCGACATTTCTGATATGACTGGGGGTTGAAACTGCCATCCAGGAGCAGCTGATAGAGGCGTTCCACTGGCCCTCATTGCGACAGTGGCTGGGTTCAGCAGAAAAAAGACACCAAACACCAAGGGTGTTTCAGGAGTCAGTAGTTACTGATTGCGAATTGCGATGGATGAGATTGGCTGATTTGGCAGCTGGATGTCTGCTTCTTGAAGGGTGCGCTCACGCAGTTGTGGTTGATGGCGTTCCCTAGACTCAAACAAAACCATTGGAGGAGACTGTGGTGTTGTCGTTTCGAGGCTTGATCAGAACTCCGTTGCATCCAGCAGAACAGCATACTGGAGACTCATGATGTTAAGGGTTGGCCGTGGTTCGATTAATGCAGGGATTACATCCACCCGCTGAAAGACGTTGAAACTGATGTAGATGAGTCATTTTATTCATAAAGACAATGTTATTACTTTTTGTTTTTGATATTTCGCATATTTTTCCCTTGCCCAGATAAGGTATTTGCAGCCTTTGGCTTACATCTCTTATGCTGAAGCAGTACAAAAACTGGACAGGCACGGGCGGGAATTTCGGAATCTGCAAAGTGCAATCCTGCAAACGGTCTCTAAAGGGTGCATACCAACTCCAAGCCAGTGTCATACTTCAAAGGCTTCGATACAATCTTGTTCTGGATATATATATATATAGATAGATAGAAAGAAAGATCGATAGATCGATAGATAGATAGATAGGTAGGTAGATAGATAGATAGATAGAACGAACAATAGAACGATAGATAGATAGATATATATAGAACGATAGATAGAACGATAGATAGATAGATAGATTAGATAGATAGATAGATAGATAGATAGATAGATAGATAGATAGATAGATAGATAGATAGATAGATAGATAGATAGATAGATAGATAGATAGATAGATAGATAGATAGATAGATAGATAGATATAGAACGATAGATAGAACGATAGATAGATAGATAGATTAGATAGATAGATAGATAGATAGATAGATAGATAGATAGATAGATAGATAGATAGATAGATAGATAGATAGATAGAACGAACAATAGAACGATAGATAGATAGATATATATAGAACGATAGATAGAACGATAGATCGATAGATCGATAGATCGATGGATCGATAGATCGATAGATCGATAGATAGATCGATGGTTGGATAGATAGATCGATCGATAGATAGATAGATAGATCGATAGATAGATAGAAAGATAGATAGAACTATAGAACTATAGAACTATAGAACAAAGACAGACAGACAGACAGACAGACAGACAGACAGACAAACAGACAGGTAGGTAGTAGGTAGTAGATAATAGTAGATAGATAGGTAGTTAGGTAGATAGGTAGATAGGTAGGTAGATAGGTAGGTAGATAGACAGGTAGGTAGGTAGGTAGGTAGGTAGGTAGGTATGATGGATGGATGGATGGATGTATGGATGGATGGATGGGATGGATGGATGGATGGATGGACAGGTAGATAGGTAGATAGGTAGATAGGTAGATAGGTAGATAGGTAGATAGGTAGATAGGTAGATAGGTAGATAGGTAGATAGGTAGTTAGATAGATAGGTAGATAGGTAGATAGGTAGATAGGTAGATAGGTAGATAGGTAGATAGGTAGGTAGGTAGGTAGATAGGTAGATAGGTAGATAGGTAGATAGGTAGATAGGTAGATAGGTAGAT